GCGCCGGGGAGACCGTTTCGGGGGTTGGCTGTTGCGTGCGCGGCGCCAGCTAGCCAGAGCGCGATGACTCACCCCGGAGACCAAGGCGGTAGGGGTTGCCCCAGCGCTATCGACCGGCTCGTAGGGCCGACCGTAGGGCCGACCGTAGGGCCTTGTGCCTTGCTCTGTCTGCCGGGCCGCCAGCCCCGAGCCGCAGCACGGCTAGCAATGCGAGATCGGGACACCGGACAGGGGTATTACATGTCTCATGCAATCTTATCTGCGGCCGATGTCGCCCAAAAAGGCATAGCCGAGCCGCCCGTGAGGAGCGTCCCGCGAAATCGGGTGGGTCGCCAAGCGGCGCCGGCCACGAGGGCAACCCAGCGTACCGCATCCCAGCGCCTGCATTGCGACTGGCAACGAAACGCTCTGTACTGCCGTGCGGCAAGTCGACTAATTCGTTCTGGCAGTGAACTTCCCGCGCCCCAGCTTGCCTTGCCTCTGTGGGCCTCGGCGTTAAGTTCATGCATATACATTATTGACAGGAAGCGCACACACTGATGTCACTTTTTCGGGGCCGCCTCCTCCGCGCCTACGAGAGGCCCCCGCCGTGTGGTACCAGACCCGTGGGGCCCCTCGCTCCCCGTCCCGGCGGCGTCCCGGCCAACGCCCTGCCCCGCGCCGCCGCCGCGCCCCGCGCCTCACGCGGCCCGGCAGTTTACGCCCTCCTCGGCCTGCACGGCCTGCTCGGCCTCCTCGCGACGCCCATGCCGTGCGAGACAGAGACCGCCGCGGATAATGAGTCACATAAAGCGGGGCCGCGTCCGAATGCGCGGCTGCCCCGCCACTGCCGCCACTGCCGCCGCGTGGGCGGCCCGGCAGGCCCGGCAAAGGAGCAGCGCGGTCCGCGTTGGCGCCGCGCCTCCGTGGACAAAGTGCTGGCCAGCAGAGCCAGCAGATCCAGCGGGCTGGTCGGCGCTTTGTCTCTCTCGCACTCGCGGGGCGTTCCGTCGTAAGGACACAACGCGACGGCGCCGAGGTCCAAGAAGCCCCCGGCACGCAATTTGGTGGGTCCCAGCAGTTCCAGCCATCGAGCCCGTCAAGGCTTCAAGGCTGGCGGTGCTGGGCGGGATCCACCCCGCCCCGCCCCGCGCTCGAGCAGCGACAGCCGGAACAGACGGCAGTCGGGGGAGGGCCGGGCTCGCAGGGCTGGGGATATCCATGGAGGCTGGCGCTACCAGGCAGTGCTGGGTGTGCTGGGGGAACGGAAAACGGAAGGGGTCTTTATTTAGTCCGTGAAGCGAGGAGGCGAGGAGGGAGCGGCCAGGCTGGGTTGGCTCGGGCTGCAAGGGCTGCACTAGAGGCTGCACCAGAGGCTACACTGCCCGAAACGGCTGCACTGGCTGGTGCCCCGAAATAACACCGTCTCTCCCCAGCGTCTTGATCGTGAAACGGGCGTCGAGAGCGCCGCGCCGTCGACCTGCACTGGAAGGCCCTCGCGGGGCCCCTGCAGTGCGCCTCTGCGTCTGGCGTCGTGTGGCCCAGCCAGGAGAGTCACTCCGTCGCTCTGTCTCCGTCGCACTCATGGGGCTCTCCATATGAGTGCGAGGGAGACAGAGCGGCTCGGCTGGCCGCGGCCCTGGCCGTGCACATGCAGGTCAGTGGGCAGGTACCAGGTGGGCAGTGTGGGCTCCGCTCGCTCCGTCTGCTGCGCCGCGAACGCGGTCTGGCTCACGCCGCTCACGCGCGGCCGCGCTGCTCGCTGGACTCAAACCGCGATGCTAATTGGGGGCCGGGCTTCAATGACGAAGGGCCGGCCGGGAAACGGGGAAACGGCCCAACGGGGCCCCGGCCGTCCCGGCCGCTGGCAGATGGGAGTCCATGCGCCCCGCGCTGTCTCTCTTGCACTCCCGTCCCGTGTCTGGTAGTGTCTGGGTGGGAGAGAGACAGCGCGACTTGAGCTCTGTTCGGCACCAGCCGGCACCAGTCGTGCTCGTTCCCTTACTTGGACATGACCGCCGCGCCGGTGGAGGAGCAAGGGGTGGGGGGCGTCGTCCAGGCGCTCGCGGGGAAGTGCGGGGCCGCGGCGAACACGGCGAGCAGGAGAAGGCCGCAAGTTGCCGGCAGCGAATTGCGAGTGAATGAATGAATGAATGAATGAATGAACGAACGAACGAACGAGAGCGAGCCGTGCAACACGCTGATGTGCTGATGCAGATCAATCAGCTCTTTTGCCGATTTCCAACGACGCCATCATCATTATCATCGTTAGCGCCTGGTTCATGGGCGAGGCTGGAGCCAAAACACCTACTAACGTGGATGTGTTTTACCCAAGCGCCGCCGCGGCGAAGCACAGTCTGAGCCTTACGGGGAATCGTGCCAGTGGCCTCCCGACTCCTGGAGGGAAATAGGAAATGCGGGGAGATGGGAAACGGCTTGGGGTTTCTTTATCCCTTGACTGGGAATCTCCTCGTGGACCACTCCAACCACTCCGCTCGGGCATCCCCCGCCGGATGATCCGCTCGCCGACGCGCACGTGCAGGCCGACGAGGCCGACGTCCTGACAGTGGTGGATCCAGAGTCGGCCCAAGGGGGGGTCAAAGTAGCACTTTTTGCCTACTTACAGGGACAATGTGGTGCTTTTTGCCTACCTTTCAGGCGGCTATCTAGGGGTCAAGGGGGGAACAATTGTCCTTTTGCCCCCCCTCCCCCCCTCTCCCCCTGGATCCGCGCTTGCGTCCTGACGACGAGCAGGCTCTGGGGGCCTCTCGCCGTCCTAAACGGAGACCTCTACTCTAAGGAGAGCCACCAATGCGCCTATGGATGTAAATACCGGATTCTATGTCCGGTCCGGTGCCTATGTTGAGCCTCTATTCTCCTGCGGCTGCCCTCAACCGACTCGGCGCCACTCCGAGTTGCGCCCTGGCTGCGCCCGGCGCCCAGCTACGCCGCTGGCCAATGCTCAGCAATGCTACGTAAGGTGATGTCGGCAGCTACGCCGCTGCCTCGCCACGTCCACGCCCTCGTCGGTCGGCCAGCACACTCTGAGAGTCGTTGGCGTCGCTCTGTCTCTCTCACACCTACGAGGGCTCCCTGAGTGCGAGAGAGACAGGCCGACGCAAAAGACTCTCGGGATCGGTCTGCAGGGCGACCAGCCGCCCAGCAAGGAAGGCACGGCAGGATGTGTGGGCAGGACGGCGTCGCGTCGCGCGCGGGCCGAGCGGGGCGGTGCCTGTGACAGGGGCCGGGGCCAGGCCCCTCTGAGTGGGCCGAGCTACGCCTACGGACATCCAGTGCCGGCGTACTGGCGTACGGTTACACTGTGAAAAAGTCAATCGTCAACCTGGAGCGGTACAATTTAGGAACCCGCGCGTGTGGGCGAGTGTAGGTCTTGGGCTGAGCACGCGGGGCACCGTGGACAACAACGATTACAGCTTCAAAGGGCCAAGCGCCCGACGGCATTGCGTTGCCACCACACCAGCTGCAATCAGTCCGGTTTTCGTCCGTCAGTGGACGGTTTCTGGTGCGCCACGTCATGGGGGCGTTAAAAAGCGTTCGAAGCGCCAGGACAGGAGAGCACAGCGAGCTGAAGCCCCAAGCCCAGCCCGTCGTGCCCCAGGCCCCCCAGGCCCCAGCAGCGGCCCGAGGAGGCAGGCTGGAAAGCTGGCCGCGAAGTGAACGGCCACGGCCTGGCCACGGCAGCAGAGGAGCATTCCAGGAGAAAGTGACGCGCAAGTCCTGCTATGCCCCGGCTACGCTAGCTACGCTACGCTACGCTACGCTACGCTACGCCGGAGAGCTGGAGACGGCAAGACGGCCGCGGCCAAGGCGTTCTAGGCGCTAGCCGCGATGCAGCCTAGATCGAAGGAACAACCGCATCGCGCTGACCATGTTCAATGCAAAACAGAATGGGGAATGCGGGGACTCGAACCCCGGAGAACCGCTTTTGGCTGCGGCTGTGCCGCAGTGGCGGTGAGCAGGGGGTGGGTGGACAGGGTGGACTGCGGGCTTGTAAGCTGGTCTCTCTCTCTCGCACTCGTCGCATCGCTGGTTCGGTGCGACGAAGGCAGGTGCGGTTTTGCGATGCGACACGTCGACGCTGAGGCGGCGCTCCCGTTGGTCCGTGATGACGTCACGGCCAACGCGGCAGCGTCGCGGACGTCGCGGCCTCACCGCGGCGCTCCGGGGTACAGTGGTACAGTCCGTTGCACAAAGTCCGCCAAGCCGGCAAGCCGCCGGTTGTGGCCGAAAAGCCCGATTGCGCCGCACACCCTTCACGGCAGGGTAGCTGAGGCTCGATGGTTCGATGCAGCCCCCAGTGAGTGCTCTACAGACACAGTGCATCTTTATTCCAAACAGAAGAGCGTCAGCTTTCCCCTCGGGAATAACTGACATTCCCTGCGTGCGATACACCATGCCAACACCCATGCGAGTGAATGTGCTGCACCAGAAAAAGCAAATCTCCTACCCCCGTTGTTCCTGAGGGAGGGAGGGAGGGAGGGAGGGAGAGGGCGGGACGGGAGGGTGATAGTGACAGGTTATTGTGAATTGGGCCAAACCTATACTTTTTAATGGTTACATCTCTCAAAACCATACAAGCGACTTTACAGAGTATCCTCTTCTCTCCAATTTTCCCATTTTTGACTCGTCGCATGCTCGTCGCCTTTCGTGTTGGCGATCAGAAATTACACTTTAGTGCTTCGTGAACACGTCGTAGGAAACGAACTATACAGAAGCGACAGCAGCGACCTCGGGTGAGCGAAAATCAAAGCGCCATATGGCGCGAAAACACATTCCTGCACATTTCAACCCGATATTTACTTGCCGGAGGAAGGGTGGGGACGAATTTTTTCATCAAAATACACGGAGGATACAACTTTTTACCTCAAAACATCTAAATACGCCAGAAGGAACGATTCTTCTGCTCCGGGAGCGGCTTTGAACCGACCAATGGCAGACGAGGAGAGGGCGACGGTGGTGGGGAGACGACCGTTGCCGCTCGTCGCAGCCAATGAGCGGCCCGGCCTGGGCCAGACCGAGGTTATATATACGGGCCGCACGCGCTTTCCCGGCACAGTCAGTTTGGAGAAGCACCCTTACCGCTTCAACGAACGACATCCCTCGTCGTGAAACCCTCTCTCCCTCTGCCAAGACAAACTCCTCAAACCTATCAAAATGGTAAGTTCGCGTGTGATTGTGATACCGACGTGATTCTGTGCCGTGTGCCGTGCTGGAATAGTGATGGGTTTCTGAGATGCCTTTGGGGACCGTTTGCACAGTGGGCTGACGGCCCGCAAGCCGCTGCTCGCCCTGATCCAACCGCCATGCTGAGTGCGGCTCGCCTGTCTTTTCGCTTTTCGTGACGAGAAACTTTGGCCGCGTTGTAGCGTATGTTACAACCACGCCTCGCTTTAGACGTCCGTTGAGTCAAACTAGGTGAGCGGCACCTTGCTGACGTGCCGCTTGCCGGGCCGCGCCGCGCCCACGCTGCAAATGGCGTCGGTGACGCGAACCGGGCCGAAATCCGGCCGGTGTAGTTTTCTACCACGTCCATCTTCGATCACGAAGCGATTTCCTGCTGACTGCCATTTTGATCAAAGTTCTGGGCGTTGGTTAACTGGCCTCAATCGTTCGGGTTCGGATGCCCTGCAAGTTCTAGTCAAGGGTTAGGACTTCGTTAGGTCGGTCTGGGTGTGGTCGAGCGGAGCCGAGCGGAGTCGGGGCTGCGCTGATTTTGGTCACCTCTGCATCCTTGTTCTTTCTTCTTTTAATACGTGGTGCAAACCGGACGTTCTCCTAAGGCAACTCGATTGTGGCAGTTTTCTTACATTTTTTGTTCTTTGTGCTTACAGAGGGAGTGCATTTCCGTTCACGTTGGCCAAGCCGGTGTCCAGATTGGTAATGCCTGCTGGGAACTTTACTGCCTGGAGCATGGCATCCAGCCTGACGGCCAGATGCCGTCTGACAAGACCATTGGTGGCGGAGACGACAGCTTCAACACCTTCTTCAGCGAGACTGGTGCTGGCAAGCACGTTCCCAGGGCTGTGTTTGTCGATTTGGAGCCTACAGTAGTTGGTGAGTCATTGTTGCTTCTTGCAACTTTCTAGTCCATATGTAGGAGTATATTGTGGTTGGCAGCAATTAAAAACTGTTCATTCCTTCATTACAGATGAGGTCCGCACTGGTACCTACCGCCAGCTCTTCCACCCGGAGCAGCTCATTACCGGCAAGGAGGATGCTGCCAACAACTATGCTCGTGGCCACTACACTATTGGCAAGGAGATCGTTGACTTGGTGCTGGACCGTATCCGCAAGCTGGCTGACCAGTGCACTGGTCTTCAGGGCTTCCTGATTTTCCACTCCTTCGGTGGTGGCACTGGCTCTGGTTTCACTTCTCTGCTCATGGAGCGACTCTCTGTTGACTATGGCAAGAAGTCTAAGCTCGAGTTTGCCATCTATCCTGCTCCCCAAGTTTCTACCGCTGTCGTTGAGCCCTACAACTCCATCTTGACCACCCACACCACCCTGGAGCACTCAGATTGCGCCTTCATGGTTGACAATGAGGCCATCTACGATATTTGCCGCCGCAACCTGGACATCGAACGCCCGACCTACACGAACCTCAACCGTCTCATCGGCCAGATTGTCTCCTCCATCACTGCCTCCCTTCGCTTTGATGGAGCCCTGAATGTGGATTTGACCGAGTTCCAGACCAACTTGGTGCCTTACCCTCGTATCCACTTCCCCTTGGTTACTTATGCCCCTGTCATCTCTGCTGAGAAGGCGTATCACGAGCAGTTGTCTGTTGCTGAGATCACCAACGCTTGCTTCGAGCCTGCCAACCAGATGGTGAAGTGTGACCCACGTCACGGAAAGTACATGGCTTGCTGCATGTTGTACCGTGGAGATGTTGTTCCCAAGGATGTCAATGCTGCTATTGCTACCATCAAGACCAAGCGTACCATCCAGTTTGTTGACTGGTGCCCTACTGGCTTCAAGGTTGGTATCAACTACCAGCCCCCAACTGTTGTTCCCGGTGGAGACCTTGCTAAGGTGCAGCGTGCTGTGTGCATGTTGTCTAACACCACAGCTATTGCTGAGGCGTGGGCCAGATTAGATCACAAGTTTGATCTGATGTATGCCAAACGCGCCTTCGTACACTGGTACGTTGGTGAGGGTATGGAGGAGGGAGAGTTCTCTGAGGCCCGTGAGGATCTGGCTGCCTTGGAGAAAGATTATGAAGAGGTTGGCATGGATTCCGTGGAGGGAGAGGGAGAGGGTGCTGAAGAATATTAATCCTGTTCTTCCTGTATGATCTGGCAATTTCCTGAAATCTCAAGTTTGAAGCCTGTCTGTAGATCGACATTTATGTGCCAGTATTATGAAGCTTTAATTTATTCAGCCAAACAGAATAAAATGCTTGACTTGACCTGCCATGCGTATATTTCCTGATCCCAAACAAACTCATTCACTTTGAAATTTTTATTTGAATCTTGAATAATTTGTTATAAAAACGGAGTCAGTAGTATTAGTGAACAGCTCTTCACAATGCCAGTGTAGATTTATAAATAACTTCATTAGTACTCTTGGCATCACATTTAACAGTAAAGGACAATGATGGAGTCGCAACTTTACAAACACTGTCAACACAAACAAATAACTTTGTCGTAAGTCGAATTTTATTGAGTGATTGGTGCTGGTGCTGATCGTATGCTGGTGCAGTCACAGATATAGAGGCTGTAGAAGACTCTGAATCAAATACGCCGCTTGATGCATCACATTTCCAGGAGAGACCTGTAAATGGAAATATCATTTGAAGCCTTTGACAGAAACAACTATATCACAAATTAGAAATGTTCTCACCAGGTAAATGAAGACTCCACCGCTGAGGTGCACCTTCAGTGAGCTGAAGTTGAGGAGGTAGAGACAAGCCCACATGTAACATAATTTTGCCACCAAAATTTACTGTAAGTGGAATTGCTTTCAGTGCCTCATCGGTTTTATCTTCCGGCTCTTTATCTCCACAAATAAGAGCCAACTGAAAGTAAGACATGGGACTTAAAAATGGAACAAATGAAGCTTTTTCACAGATATTCAACACTAGAATAGTTTTGTACCTCAGTTATCGTACATGTACTAAAATTGAAAACTTTTATGGTGTGGTTGTTTGTATCAGCAATGTACAGTTCAGTTCCAGTCTTATTAACACACAGCCCGCCAGGTTCATGTAGCTGGAAGGTGAAGACAGGAAAGAGTTATGGGCTCATTAAGATACTGTGTGCATATGAAAAATATTTTCACAGTAATTATATTAGCTGGAAAGACAAACCTGAGACTTGAGTCCAGAAAGTAGATTACCAGGCTTACCAGTTCCAATGTAAGCCACACATGAATTAACACCAGGTTTAACAATTTTGATTTTGTGATTGTAACTGTCTGCTACGAAAAGGCTCTCACTTCTATCATGCCATGCTACTCCAAGGGGGTGCTGAAGTTTTGCATTGAATCCGTTTCCATCAATATCACCAAAGGAAAATAAATCCTACAACCGAGGCAACAAAATTAAACAAAAGCAAAAACCTGTTAAGATAAAGAATGACAAAAATATAATAAGCTTACATCTGGAGTTTTGCTTCCTCCGACAACTGCTGACACCTTTCCTGTTTTTAAACTTATACTTCTTATACTTGAACTTTCACTGTCTGCAATATAGATCTCATCCAACTTAGAACTGTACGTCAAGCCAGATGGCTGGGCAAAGGAAGCTGATCGAGGATATGAGTTGTTTCTGTTAGCTTCACTTCCCGATCCCGCAACATTTACACAGGTTCCAGCAACAAAAAACCTGCAAAGACCAAGGCAGTGTGGATTACCATAGAGGGAAGTCTTTCAAAATAACAAGATTATTGCAAATTTTGTGCAAATCTTCTGGTTTGTCAAATGGCTCCTTTGTGAATTATTACTTACTCTTTCCCCCACCATGTTGTGTCTTGGAAGAATAATGCCCAAATTTGATGACATCCAGCCATAGCAATGAAAAGCACTTCTTGCTCTTTTAAAGATTCTTCCTCTGTTATTTCTTGAGCAAATGCAGAGGTTCCCGGCGGTGGAGGTGCTGGGATACAAGGGGGTGCAGGGGCTGGAGGCATACAAGAGGGTGCAGGGGCTGGAGGCATACAAGGGGGTGCAGGGGCTGGAGGCATACAAGGGGGTCCAGGGGCTAGGGGCATAAAAGGGGGTGCAGGGGCTGGAGGCATACAAGGGGGTGCAGGGGCTGGAGGGATACAAGGGGGTTCAGGGGGTGGTAGTACAGGAACTCCACTTAAAGAGATGTGCCCAGGGGGAGCAGGAGGACAGATGGACATAAATGGCTGAGGAAGATGACGTGTTGAGGGCACCTGGCGGCGAACGAAGCAAAGATCCCAAGGAGAGGAAATACCATTTGCATTGTACACTGTGCTACCATCATTGCCGGCAGCTTTTAGTGTGTTTCCAACAATGGTTATTACTGTTTCTTTCGTCAGATCTATCTAAAATGTTAAAAATAAAAATCAAGGAAAGAAATGATGATTGATATAAAAAATTGCTATCCTTACTTGCCTTTCGGATGGCATGATTTTCTGTGTCCGCAACAAAGAGGACATCACACTGAGCAAATGCGAGTCCTTGAGGAGCATTGAAAAGAGCGGTGCTGAAATTACCATCAGCAAACCCAGGCTTCCCAGAGTTGCCTATGACATGCTGGAATAGAAAATACTAGGTTTTCACTGAGATGCAATGATTGATTTCTTAAAATAGAAACTTACTTACTTTAATTATACCATCAGCGGAAGTGATGATTACAGTATGCAAACCGGAGTTTGCAACAGCAACTAGCTCCAAACCATCTTGCTGAGTAGTAGAAGTTATCTTTCCAGGAAACAAAAGTGGCCCTTTGAGGACTGACGTGGATGAGGAAAGTGGTAGAGAATGAGGGGATAACTTTCCATGAGATCCAAAATAGGTGACAACTCTGCTAATGAAATCAACCAGATGATCTGCGTTGAACTCTCCGACCAATTTGTATAAAGGCTGGCCTTCAGGGCCTAAGAAGAAAAAGTACTAAAATGAAATTAAAAAAATGAAGCAACAATGAAAGACATATCAAATAGCCTAACAAAATAAAAAAATGTTCACAGAGCAAGAGAATAATAAAGCACAGAAACAGCAGCTTACCTAAGACAAGTACGGTTGGCCAGCAGGATATACCTAACTTGGACCAGAGCTCACCCTCACAATCATTCACAACTGGATGAGTGATGTCATATCTCTTAAGAGCAGCTGATATATTTTCAGAGTCTTTCTCATTGTCAAATTTGGCACTATGAACACCTATCTAGAATTTGAAAAATAAAAGCCCATGAGACATATGTCAGATCGAAGATATTAACCAAGTGTACCTTTCTACTCACAACAACAACTCCATTTTCAGTGGAAAATCTTTCTTCCACCTTCCGTAAATGAGGGAGTATGTGCAGGCAGTTAATGCAGCAGTATGTGAAAAAATCCAAAACAACAATTTTGCCTCGAAGTTGACGCCCAATAGAAAGTGGCTCGGAGCAATTAAACCACTGTAAACCTAAGAACAAAATTATTTTCAAACAACAATAAAAGGAGTATTTAAATGGATAAAATAGAAAGGAAGACATCAACATTTTTCAATATAAAATAGAGACTCTCTTTTTGCGGAAGAATAGACTACTAACCAACTTCAAAGTCACAAATGGGTTCCACAGGTGCCTTGAAGGGGGCGGGTGCCGCACCTCCGCTGGCAACAATTTCAGCAGCAGCATCAAGACTTGCAAAGTCACTTAAAATATCTTCTAATGTTTCGACTGTTTCGGGAGAATTTTCCATTGAACCGGCCTTTGATATGGAACTACGTGAAGTTCTGACACTGTCTGTCAACACAAGTTTCAAGAGCAAGGTGCAGGGGGAGGGGAGGGGGGGGGGGAGGAGGAGGAAAGCGTCTGCTGGCTGCTTATTTAAAAAAAAAATTTGCTCACGCTTAAGCATTTGAGTACCAACGGCTGATATTGAATGTGGCCACCTTAAAGACTCAAATTCTCTAAAGATTGCATCCAAGTTCAATTTTTTTTTAAATGATGCTTCCCGAAGACAACCACATTTCTAGTTCGTAGGGCTCGAAATAGAAAGAGAAGTAGGCTTCCTCCTGTGTATGTTCGTAAGGCAGTTGGCAGTCCTGTAAGAGAATTACAGTGCCACCAACCACCAGATCCCGGTGTTGTAGTTCCGGTTGTCAGAAACAGACGAAACTGTCTAGAAGCAACAGTAAATAGCTGCTCTTATCAATATTTATTCCCTCTTTGCTTGGGTCTGGGATCTCTTATGATCTAAGGAAGTTTATTATATTTGTAGATTTATTATTATGTTGGGGGTCTTTCTTTGAGCAAAGGGTGAGTTTGCCGTTTGCTTAACTCCCTTCCTCGTCACGGCTGGTCACGGCGAAACGGCACGGCGTTTGTGACCAAGTTGTCGTGCACCTTTTTCCTTTCCCATTACATGTTTTATTTGTTTACAATTTACGTCTGAAGTGAAAAGCATCGTTGTCAGCAATGGCTGCTTCGACAGATTTATCAAACGTTAACGGATCTTCAAACTCAGTGAGTTCAAACGAGGAGTTAAAATGTCAAGATGGCGTTCTGATTTAACTTTCAGTCTACATGGTGTTTAGTTGTATAATTTATTTGTGCACCAAACTATCAAAATTTTTAAACACATTCCTGTATTTCATTAGCTTTGAATTCCCTTTGTACCTTCCTATGTACCTCAGGACGCCTCTGCAACGTGTGGAGATGAGGCCCTTAACCTCCGAATACTACTGTTGTTTTCGTGGTTGTATTTGCGTCCGTGTCAACTTAGTCAACTTGTATTGTTGCTAAAATCGATAGTCCAACTTTGTCCCAATTATAACGAGATTATTGAGTCTTTTGTATAGCAAACAGAGCTGGCAAGTTATAATCCTAAACAGTCAGTGTTGAAACCATTTCTTTTACTGTTGTTTTCTAGGACAGCACTTCATCGTCACCACCACCACCCCCTGTACCTCCTGAGGAGATTAGAGACACTGCTATAGAAGAGATGGAGAATGGTGTTGGTGAAGTTCATATCAAGGCCATTAAGCGAGAAGCTGAAAATGGGGTCAAGCCGGAAAACGGAGAGCCAGCAGCCAAAATCAAGAGAGAGAGTAAGTACACTTACCAGATACTTTGTTTCTTCTCTTCCCTTCCTATAGTCTGTTACATTCATTGTGTACCAGGTTTGTTGAGTTATCATAGGAGATGCTACTAGGTGGGCAAAGTTACTGTGCTTAAAGGGTCTCAGATTTTGTTGGGAGTCAAAGTGAATTTGGTGTGAGGTAGAATGAACTTAAATTGATGACTGTAATTAATTTTTGCCATGAGTCAAAGGTATAATGCTGAATTTTGAGGCGAGCAGGGGTGTAGCAGTGTAACATTGTTCAAAATTCCCATTACCTGCTCTGTTCTCTAGACTTGGGTGAGCAATCCTCTTCTGTTTAGTGGTCTCTGCAATATTTTGTCATTGCTTTTTGAATTTCCTTTTGTCCACAATGTGTTCATTAGAAGTATTTCACTTGCAATGTGTTAATTAATTTATAAATGTAAAGCATCCTCAGTGTTTGTGTTAGTCTGAGTCTGTACGTCATGGTTTAATATGCCAAGAGGCTTTATGTCTCTTGCTGTTCCACTTTGTTACATTATCAAAATAATGAGTTTTGGGACAGATACCAGTCCCTTGTAGAGGGTTATTAGTTGTTTCTACTTGACTTCAGCTTTTTTAAGGACTCTCATATGGGCTTTGAGCCGGCTTTGAGGGATAACGTGTAGTCGCACAATCGAACACACATTCATACATTAATGGAAGACGGTTCTCTGGGTCTTTGGTATGATGAGGCAGTTCTCACAATTACTTCACTGCAGTATTGTCCTCAGCATCCCTTATGTTTAGTATTAGCTCAGTATGAGAGGTCTCTTGATTTTTTGAGATCATATTTCTAATGGAGTTTGTGTGGTCTGTTTCTGAGTTGTTACAGAGAGGCCCTTCAATTGGCTGACACCAGTGGCTGTCATTACTGTATAGTTTGACATTATTTTGTTACCTTATTAGTGATGACTCAAGCCTTGTAGTTCTCAACAAATCTTTGTAGTCAGAGAATACTTGTGTGTTTATCTCTGCTTATTAATAGGGGTCATGTTATAGTTGGATAAGTAACTATATAAGCAACTTTAAGACCAGCAATGCTGCTTGAAGATGCTTGTACATTTTTCTATGTTTTGTTTAATTTTATTTTATTTAATTTTTCTTGATATGCATATTGTTAAAAAGCAAGCAAAAAGGGACCTTTTCAAATAAAAAAAGGAAAAGAATGATTTTTTTTCATACTAAGATAAAAGAAACTGGTTAATAATTATTATTGAAGATCTAATGACCACCTTTCGGGGCTTGGATGTATGAATGTATGAATGTATGATGTATTTGCTTTTGTGATGCTCAGTGCCTATGTATCCCTTTTTGCTGGCTAAGTTGGCATTAATTTTGTGCTTTGATTTTTTTTCCTCACCATTTGAGCTACAGAGGGAGGGAGGGAGGATAGTTTGTTTGTTAAAGATTGTTTATATGTTTGGCTGTTTCATAATCAACACACTCCAACTCAGCTAGAGGAACGATCTCTCCAGGAACCCAAGGAAACTTGTCGGAAAGGTTTTACTTGTGCAGATATATGGTGTTAAGTGTAGTGCATTATTAGTGGTTACAAAGCAGTAAGTTGTCGGTTTTAAATTTGACATTGATTTAAAGAAAAGAAAAATTGTCTTGCAAGATTTAGACACAAATGAAAAGTTTCCCATCCCTATTTTGTACGGCAATTTACAATTCAACTATTTTCCTCTGAATGTTAACCTCAAGTTAATGACTTGTAAACTCTCAATTGAGTTTAGGGTCAAATGCCTTCATTCTGGCGCACAACAGAGTCTCTTCAAAGATGTTACTTCCGTATGAGGGTCAAAGTTTTAATTTTCTTGTTTCTTTTCTCTGTTTTCTGTGTTGTTTCATGGGTAGAGTTGCGTCCTAGCCTAGCCCAGGTGTTTTCAGCGATCGCTGCGTACAAATCGGGGACAGAGACCCCCGATTTTCATCGTACACAGGGGTAAAGGTCATCTTATGCCTCATGTCGCCACAAGCATTTCTTGTTTGTGTGGTACACAACCCAGACATGCTCCGCTTTCATGCTAATAAGTAATTTTGTATCTTATTCCAAAAATCTTTTCTATTATTCCTTTTAAATTGAATATTACTTCCAAAAATAATCTTGGTTTAATGTCCACCAATTACCAGCTCATCTTAATTTATAATTTTAAAAGTCATCTTGAAAGCTTGTCTGACTTGTGAACCACATCATCTTCTCTGTCCCCTACCCTTTCATTATTTGGGGTTTTCCAATTTAGTTTTGTTAAAAATTTCAATATATTTGATGATTTTATAAGAATATTTAAGACATAATAGGACCATTCAAATTTTGGCCTTGAAGTTGTGTTTTCACTTTCCTCCTTATTAGAATATTCATTGAGCCATTTTGGCCAACTTCAGAAGTTTGATTACCTGTTGTATTTTCTGTTTTGCTTTTGAGCAGTATTGCAAAAGCAAGACTCAGTGGGAAACGTCTGGAGCGTCCCCCACCCCCTATTTTATGATATTTCTCGCAGTATATGTATTGAATAAATACAATTGGTAGATATTATTTTTATTCACTCTGGAATAAACAGAAATAATCGCCTGTAGCCCCGGAAATATTTTAAGAACATTTTAATGTAATCAAAATATTTTCCTCCCACTCTATGATGACCTGCATGCGCAATTTCTCTTAAGATCTGACGCAGCTAGCGTAAGATCTGTTGATAGTAGCGTAAGATCTGTCGCGACGAAAGATCTGTTTGGAGCTCATTAGGTTAGTATAGGTTGGACTATTTAATTTCAGAGTTTGAGGGAAGGCTTCCGTCAGTCCACATGCGCATCTGCCCCGCACCATTCTGCAGCGAAGCAACCTCACGGAGCAAGCCTGCAATGAGAAATGCCCCATACAGCTCATCCAGGAGGAAAGAAGAAAAATTTAAATTATTATAAAAATAATCTTAAATATTGTTGGGATGATGGGCGATTATTTCTCTCTATTCCAGAGTGAATAAAAATAATATCCACCCATTATATTAATTCAATAAGTAAATTGTGAGAAATGTTATCAAGCAGGGGGTGGGGGGACGTTCCAGGCGGGGCACGCTCAAGACCGTGCCCAACTCAGCTTGGAAACAAAAATTTAAAGTACATATCTGTATTTCAATGAACCTTGGAAATGCGTGTTATAGTTCAGTAAATAGTTTAACTGGGCAGAGTTCATGTAGAGTTCCATTCCAGTGGTAGAACTGGAGCTGATCACTCAAATACATAATTAACAACAATAATGATAATAATATCTCAAGTGTAGAGGGGTGAAGCAAGACTCAGTGTGTCAGGTACTTTTGATTGATTTGTCAGGTTTAAGCAAGATGAATAAATCTATCAGGAGGCTTAAACCAGGAAGTCTTACGACAAAGACGTGTAGAGGAGGTATTAATTTCAATTGTGTTTCCATTTTTAATTCTGTTCCTTATTTGTAGGTGTTCACGCATCAGAACCACTCTACGACCTAAAGCAGGATGGTCAACTTCTTGCTGGTACGTCACAGTTCCAATATGACTTTTTAACTTGTTTGTTTACGATTATCTTGTTATCAATTGGATATTACTGTTGCAGGTGTCGGTGCAAGGTCAACTCTTCAAGGTATACTAGGTGCTGGATTACCTAAACTGTATTCTGAACAGCAAGAAAATGTAGCAAGGTCAAAGAAATATGCAATGGAACAAAGTATTAAAATGGTCTTGATGAAGCAGACCCTTGCACACCAACAACAGGTATTAAAGTTGACTTAAGTGGTTATTATCTTAGTAGGACTGTGGTTGTCATATTGTGGTTTGTTGTGGACAACAGCAGTTCTATCTTTTTGAAGTTTATATTTAATAAAAGCTTTGTCTAATTTATGGTTTTGTTTCACTTCCAGAAAGCCAAGTCGTTCCATCGGCAACAAGCTTTAGTTCTCATGTGCAGGTTAGTGCCGGAATTTATTAATGTATATTTGCATTCATACACAACTCCATTGGATTGGGTAATTTTAAGTCAGATCATGGCTCCTGTACTTGGGTGTGCAACACCTTTTTTTAAATCATCATTAGTTTTGGTGCTTGTGTAAGAAACAGCTACATAAATTAAAAACTGGCAACACAAGTCTGATTAAGTTTCTTTGGAATTTAACACTATTAGTACAGAATGATTACATTTATTTCTTGTTTGATGAGCCAGTTGAGCACCTTAATGGTTGTCTCCTGTCTTAATGTGGAAATTCAAGTCAAGCTGATAAGATCTGACTGTACTGTAGTGAAAGTCTCTTTATATTTGTTGCAAATTTTACTACCATTGTCAGTGCATGCTGATTTAATGTACCATAAATCCTGTTTGATGAGCCGGCTCAGCACTCAGGTAACCGTTTACTTTACAATATTGAAAATGGTCTTTACATAACCCCTCTGCTTTGTTTGTTTAAATTTGCAGGGTTTATGTTGGGAGCATCAGTTTTGAACTGAAGGAAGACACAATCAGACAAGCATTCCTTCCGTTTGGCCCTATAAAATCCATAAATATGTCTTGGGATCCAGTAACACAAAAACACAAAGGTAATGCCTTATTTCCCATCTTAAATTTGATTTCAATCCACTTGTTTTACTTGGTTGGTTTGATATTTTTAAATACATGTTTGTCTTTGTTGTGTTTAGGTTTTGCGTTCGTTGAGTATGAAATTCCAGAAGCAGCCCAATTGTCTCTAGAACAAATGAATGGAGTTATGATTGGTGGCAGGAACATCAAAGTTGTGGGCCGTCCCAGCAACATGCCTCAAGCACAATCAGTCATTGATGAAATTACAGAAGAGGCCAAACAATACAATAGAATTTATATTGCATCCATTCACCCTGACTTGACTGAAGATGACATAAAAAGGTAAATTGTTTTCTTGTAGAAATTTTCTTGTCAGTGCAACTGTTGTCAAACTTATGTTCTAACTTTCAACGTTGTTTCCATCAGTGTGTTTGAAGCATTTGGTCCCATCAAAAGCTGCAAACTAGCTGCAGGTCCTACTCCAAACAGACACAAAGGATATGCTTTCATTGAGTATGAGACTCAGCAAGCATCCCAAGAAGCAATAGCCTCTATGAATTTATTTGACTTAGGGGGGCAATATCTTCGTGTTGGACGTGCTATCACTCCCCCCAATGCTTTGCAGGCTAGACCCCCTGTAAGACCTCTTTATTTTCTCCCAGAACTGTTTCCATTTTGTTTCATTTATTGTGATTTAAAACTGGAATGTGTTTGCGGTTGCAGAATCCAACTCAAGGTGCAAATCTGATGCCAACTGCCGCTGCTGTTGCTGCAGCTGCCGCCACTGCCAAGATTCAAGCCATGGATGCTGTGGCAACAAACGCTGTAGCTTTAGGTGAGTTCTTTGGTTGAGCCCATTCTGCATTCTGAGCTTCTGAAAAAGTGACGGTATGATGCGTCTTGACCTGTGTGCAGGTATGGCAAAGCTTAACTCGTCCCTCGGGGCTCAAGCGGTTGCTGGCATTGGTGGCCCCCTGACTGCAATTCCAAGTGTACTCGGAAACCCAGCCCTTCTTGCAGCAGCTCAACAACAGGCGGGCCTACTTAACAGTGGGCTTGCTGCAGCACCTGCTGCTGTCATTCCACCACCAGGAATAGCCATTCCACAGCTAAGGGCACCTGCACAGATCCAACCAGTTGGTAAGAGGTGGAACATTATTGTTATTAATTTGCTCAAACTCTTAAACTAATATTCTATGTTTGTTTCATTTTAGCTCTGGGTCAGTCCATTACTCTCCCGCCTCCAGCTGTAGTAACTCCGACTGCTGTTGGTCAGCCTGTAGCACAAGCACAGGATGCTTTCAAAAGGGCTCAAGAACAAGCCCAAGTAAGAAATAGCACTTTTAAATTTGTGCTTAAAATTTTAACTTTTCTGGTTTTTATTATCTCTTTATGTTTGTTTTTGATGTTTCTTTTTCTTCTCACTTTTTAGCAGAAACAGCAGGAGGAGCTCCAGAAAAAGCTTCTTGAAGAGGCTGAACCGCAAACACTCAGTGCCCAAGAAAATATATCAATCAAGGGACAAAGTGCCCGACATTTAGTAATGCAGAAGTTGATGAGAAAAGTTGAGGTACAACCAAGTGAACAGCTTGTTTCAAATCTTGTGGTTAATTTCTAAAATTAGGAAACTATTCATTTTGTTTTTATCTTTCAGAGTCGTGTAGTTATTTTAAGAAATATGGTTGAACCAGAGGATGTAGATGAGACATTGCAAGAAGAAATACAAGATGAATGCAGCAAGTATGTTATTTTACAAATTCTTCTAGATTTAACTGATCTACCAGTTTTATTACATTTTCATCAAAATTAAAAATTACAGGTATGGTGCTGTTGAAAGAGTAATCATTTATAATGAGAGGCAGTCAGAAGAAGAAGATGAAGATGCAGAAGTAATAGTTAAAATATTTGTAGAATTTTCACAGATGAGTGGTATGTACTATTACTATATTAGCTCTGTGACAAACTCTGCTGTAGAGTTTCACAATACTGTCATTATTTATTTATTTATTTATTTATTTATTTATTTTTTTAATATTTTTTTTCAGAGGCTGAAGGTGCCAGAGATGGTCTTAATGGGAGATTTTTTGGAGGAAGAAAAGTGATAGCTACCCTTTATGATCAAGATCTGTTTGATCATAATGACTATTCAGGCTAATAATATTTGTATTATGTTTGTTTGTAATGATTTGTTCAAGGGTTTTGTCAGCACCCTTTCAAAGCTATTTAGCTTTGGCATGTATATATTTTTAAGCTTTGAGATATGCATGTGTAACTGTCTGCTTTATGTAGGTCAAACAAATCCGACCAGTCCTTCAACAATTTTGTCATGTTCCACCTTGAATGGCTGAACTGAAACTCACATTGCATCCATCCAATCCTATATCATATAGCTCCCCCCCCCCCTTTTTTTTTGTTGATCCCCGCCTATTTACTTTCATTTTGTATGTTCTTAACTTTTTGTTACATTCAAGATTTATTTGGTTGGTAAATTTTTGTTGACCTATCAAAGATGAATTAATTTCTGTTTTACATTTCCATTTTAATTGTGGATACATGATAGATGCAGATGACTGACTACAATGGTACTGTTTCACTTGCTTCTTTGATGATCATGAGCACATAATTGGCTGCATTTTAAGTGTTGCCATGTTTATAAAGGAATAATAAAGTCAAAATCACCTGTTGATGTTTTTAAAACAAGTGTTACTTTTTATGTCACCCTGAAACATGAGGGAGAGAGACTGTAAGCACAAAACAGCTCCAGGGAGGGATTTGATCAAGGTGGAAAACTGGCAACTTGGAACAATTCATTTATTTCTCTCACAAAGTTATGACTTTAATAAAAATAAACCATGACCTTCTCCATCAAAGAATAACAGGAAAACATGATTTGTGAAATGGTGTTACAAATAGTGATGAGGCACTAACTCAAGTTTCTTCCTAAATGCCACTGTATAAAATGGGATATACTATATCGATCCTTTCCACAAGCTGAGCTTGAGATTAACACAATACAACTGAGCAAACCCTGCTCAAAATGCTACTATAAAAATTCTGAAAGAGTTTCTAAAATTATCACCCTAACATTAAAAGAATAAAAGCTTTACTGCAATAGAAGAAAGTACCTGTTACCTTCCAAAGCTGCACACACAACAGAAGAATAAAATTCCTATGGAGGCTCATCGCAGACAATGAAAATAAATTAATTGATTTTCCCCTGTTCAATTTATCGAAAATGTAGGAGTATAACACAAGGTTTTTAATTCCCATAGTGAGATTAGGGTTGAGGTCTAAATGGACAGCACAAAGGCCGCAAATTAAGGTAGGACAAAAACCCTGACCTCAACTGGGCGATGTGTGCGAGTGGCATGCCAGGGATGGTTCACATGTTTATCCAATGAGAACTTGCCTTGAACATTGGCAGAAGAGTACTAATTCTATTTCCAAGACTGGCATTTTGGTGCCCTTTTAAACGTTCACGTAACAAAGGCTGTTCAGTTTCTGAAGAGATTTTACAACAGTTGTTAAGATTGTCCTCTGAGAGGATCACCAAAATTGAGTGGTCCATCAACAACAAGACGCTTGCTATACGATTCATAATTTACAGACCAGATGCTGGGGGGAAATAAAAATCAACACCAACATCCTACATAGCCTTTGTCACATCAATCCTAATTTTAACCAATGGTTTAAACAGAAGCATGGCCGAATTTTAATAAAAATTCAGTCAACTGTGAGAATAATTCATTGGTAGGAACTGTTTCCAACACTAGAATTTGACCAGATTATATAAGAACATTAAATCCTTGAATATTGTCATCTGTAAACTATTCTCACCTAAGAAAGCTGGCAAAACTACAAAATTGAACCAGTAAAGATGAGTATCAATTGGAGGCAATGTAAGGCACCTATTGATCAGTAATGACAAGACCAAGGAAGACAGGTTCAAATACAACAATTTTAAATAGTCCTGATACAGTCCATGTAAAATATATTTTTCTTTGTTAACATCGTGTTTTTCTAGCTTAAGATGGAGCAGCCACTTCAGTATAAATGGGTTCGACAGGTCAGTCATCCTCCTCCCCAGATTCAGACTCTTCTTCAGCGTTCTCAAGCCAATCCACAAATTTCTTCATCTGGTCTAAAAATAGCATCTTTCCTTTTGATGAATGATCCTCCTTGTACCACTTGATAATGACCCCTTCTGACAGCACATCAGCTGCAAATAAAAATTACTTCTTGTCATTGAGCCCAGCAAAATCAAACAGAGCAACAGTTGGAACACTTACTCTTGTAGAAGAGCAGGACAATCTTCTGGAACACCTTCATGAAAATCATGTTTCCATAACAGAACTCCTGAACCTTGAGCATGAGAGCAAGCTCAGAACGGGCAGTAGTTGTGAATGCCTCCAATAGCAATGTATATTGCTTAAGATGCTTGAGTGCCTGTTCGGCCACTAGCTCTTCCTTTTTGTTCCATTCAGCCTGAGACATGACAGTCGACCAGACCTAAAACCAAAAGATTTGAAAACACTATTAATTGAGCACTTAAATAAAAATAATGAAGACAAATGATTCAAAACCAAATAAAAACGTACAATGCCAATGATTTCATGTTCAGGGATATTGTTCTTGGAAGCCAAGTCCTTAATGTCAATGATAATATCTTTGATTGGGCGTCCCTCTTGCAGTTGTTCCTCCAGCTGCAGCTGCAGGTCTCGTTTAGCTCCTTGACTTGCCTAAAACACAAAATAAACTACTCTAACAACAAACATTATCAGAAGGGGAACAGATTCAAGAAATTTGAACTATCTTACCTGAGCTTTGTGAAGTTTGACTATATCAGCCAGACCTTTCTCTTCAAAAACTGCCTTAAAATGCTCTTCTGTCCTTTTGTTGGTAGGGAAAAACTCCATCAACCTGAAGATATACAGAAAGATCAAAATTGTAATCAGAAAGATAAGATAAAAATATGGACAACCTTGAATCAACTCACTTTCCCTCCAGTCCACCTTTCTTGAGAGCAGTGACCAAGCTTGATAATCCTTTCTCATTTTTCCATGTAACAAAAACTTCCAGCAAGAAGTCTAAAGCAAGGTTGTCCTTAACAAGATGTTCCTGTAAAAAAGGAAATAAAATAACTAAAGGTCTTAAATTATGCATTAAAAAAGGTAATCTATCATACTTACATTGCTCAGGACAAGTAAAACGCCTGGAGGAACAGATCCATTCGATATCCACAATGCTGTCATTCGCGCCAGTTTTCTCCTTTCAGTTTCACTGAATCCTTTGATAAAGACAAGGACTTTCTTCATCTCTTCCTCAAACATCTTTTCGAGGTACTTGTATCTCCTCATCAACTTAATGAAAACCTGTTCATAGTTGTGCATTGACTCCATGTCCTCCGGTGCGCCAAACAAACAGCATTCTGTCTTGCATGGTTTGTCACCCTCCATGGCAATGGAGCCCCCTGGCACTGAAAGAAAAACAAAGGTTATATCTATACTCCTGACTGAGCACTTAAAAACAGAACACAACGTACCCAGCAAACCACCGGCAATGAGGATGTCAAAGAGAGCTTCCCCATATCGGCGGTAGTCCAATTTGGAACCAGCTGTGTCAAGGTACTTCGACACAGCCTCTAAATCTGTGCCAGCTTTGTCCAAACCCAACAACACCGAATCTCTGAACCCTTGAGGGTCATATTTCTCTTTTTCATCTGAAAAATAAATAAATAGATAATTGATGAGATACTGTAAATGTAACATTGCAGATAAATCAATGACCTTTGAATTACAAACCTCTTTTTCTGGTCTTGATGCGCTGACCTGACAACACGGGCTTCTCTGTTTTTTGACTCATACAACAGATGGCTGAAAACAAAAAAAAAACAGACTTAGGAACACTTGAAAAACTTCGTTTCAGCAGAAGTCAAAAAGAAAAGAATCCTAACCTAACTTATAAACACAACATAATATTGACTTTATAAAGCAGATTTGGAGAAAAACGCAATTGAATGCTATAAAGACAACTGACAGATTTGGCTTGCATGCAGACGAGAAACATACAAGAAGGCCAAGTTTGAACCGGACAAATAAAAGTTTGACAAGACATTACACAACAGCTGAGGTTGGATGAGTCATCTGATATTACCGACAAAACGATCCTTTCAAACGGACCGCGAGAGGACTCACATCATGACAAAAAATACCGTAGTTGTGCGCGCAATGTGTGACCCCACGAAATTACAGAAGAAAAAGAGGTCATTGTCCACATTAAACCAAAAGAGGCACAATGACATTACGAACCGTGGAACACCTGCGCATGCAGCTCTCACACAACACAGCTGTACCAGTGAGACCATGCATAGGAGGACATTAAAATCACCACAGAAAATGCGACAAATAGCTTACTTCAAGAGGATTGGACTAGAAAAATATAAAATGCGGCGTAGGGTTGGCTCCGCTTTCTAAACTGCGTCAGTTGAAAATGTTCGCGAAGTGATGGAACCCGCCAAATCCTAGTAAGGCTGAGCTACGAACTAGTCTGATACTCACTTTAAAAAGGTACATTGAATACTTACTATTTAACCTGTGAGAAACAGTACTTCGCCTCGGGGATAGGCGTTTGATTTGGAGTGAGATCTACGGAGTACAGTACGCAACGTGTGAGACTCGGAGAAATGTTCTTCCGGTCATGTACTACTTGATCCAAATCGAGGGTTAAACTGTTAAACTAATTTAAACAAATTACTCTTTTAAAGACTCAAAGTTATGTTTAAAAAATTGAACACGAGTTAGGAGAGCTATAAAAGACGCTCTGGATTTTTTAGAAGCTGGCTTGGAGTTTTTATTCGGTTGGTTTTTGATCATAGAGGAAATCCGGTTACCTACCAGGCTGTGCAAACTTTGCACAAATGACATGAAATTATCATGGCTTTGTTACTCATTAAAGGAGAATGGAGTCTTTGATTTGAACTTGACCTTTTCTGCATTTGATTATTTTTTATTTACAAAAGTGAGTTCTGTAGTTAATCGGGAGACGATCTGGTTTTAATTTATTTTCTTATAGTGTCCCCCTGCCCCTGGCCCGCCTTTTCCTCTCTTCCACTCTCCCCCTCTCTCTAACACACCACACACACACACCAGCACACCACACATACACGCACACACACCCCTCTCCCTCTCCTACTGCCCTGCCCGGCACACGGCACACCAATCAATTAATCTGGGGAATTTCGATGGTAATGGATCAATGTTTTATTCGCTGACGACCAATTTCTAAATCACGCGATGAACTCTATGATCAAAAACATCGAATGTACCACAGCATAGATTAAGGGCGGATCCTTCACACCAGCTGCGTGCAACAGCTAAGCTAAAAAACACTTGCTCTCTGTACAGTAGTGCCAAAGTCGTAGTCGTAGTCACCTTTGAAACCCGAGATTTGTCCACTAGTGCAACAGTTCGAGGGTCATATTGCTGGATGCACGTGCACAGCCTGTCAGTCTGTGTGTTCGAATTTCATTTCGTTGATGTGTGTACTAAACAATCTTATTACTTTAGAGTTGCTGTGACAAGTTTTGTACAGGTTATGTTTATGATTTGTAAACAAATCAAGCTGTCATGCAATTTAAAAAGTCATGCTTCGTCGATGTGTCAGTAATCCTGCCCACGAGTCAACCCCGTCCATATTTTCCGTCAGAATAATCTCTCTGTTGTAAGTGTCGTTGATAACTTGAATAAGTGTGTCAAATTCTGTTTATTTTTTAGCTGTGGTGAACGTTGTGAGCCTCAACAAGTCAAGATTTCAGGATGAATTTACTAAGAGTATTATACCAGGAGAATGCTGTAAGTGTGTTTTAAATTTCAAACCGTTTTCAGTTCTATTCATTTTTAAAATTCCTCTATTTTCTCTCAATTTTTAGATCAAGTGCTCTGTTTATCAGTTTTCACTTGTCAGGTGGAAAAGGTAAGAAACTTATTTATGGAAATATCATTTAGCATGGAGTATGATCTCACCTCTTCAATGTCCATAACTATAAGCCAAACCACTCTCAACCATGTACCAACTATCTGTTCAAGCTCAACGAACAAGGATGCATATAATTACTGGCAACAAAGCAAAGTTCCAACACTGCATTTTCAAAAATCACTTCCACGACTGCCAATTCCAGAATTGTCCAAGACATGTGAGCGCTATCTGAATGCTCAAAGACCCTTACAGGATGAATCAAACTACAGAAAGACAGAAGTCATTGTTCAAAGGTAAGGCATAGCTTTAGAAAAGAAATAATCTCTGTCAGTAGGATTGCTCTCTGTTTTCCCCCTCTTTTATCATTTACTTAACTGTGTGCTGCTTTATTCTCAAGCTTTTCATCATTCTACATCATCTGGCTTACTATTGTGTCAGTTGTGATGATCTTGATTGCTTTTCTCTACATGATACATCAGTATCAAAGTGAGATACCTCTTTGTGAAAGAGCTCAGCTTTTGTCCTCAGTCATGCAACTTTTCTGTTTCATTCATTATGCATATTGTGTATTCACAATGCAAATGAGAGGATGTCTGCTTGCACTCCTCCCCGCTTCTTCTCTCCCATTTGGTCAACACCCTCAAGACTTTTGGTTCATGTGCTGAGGGTAAGCACATTTTCAATACTCCATTAAAAAGGGCTCCCAGCTGCAGAATATATTACTATTCAGTTAATTTTTGGAGAGTATCATTCGAATGTAGTCCAATTTATACCAGTCCTTCAATTATAGTACTTTTTTTCATTTATTAGTGAAATTAAGCCAAGCTTTTCATTTGGTATTTTTGGCATGTTGTTTTAGTAACTGTCACTTTATCAAAAGTATGAATCATCTGTCATCTATAACCACATTATCAGATTGTTCATAAAATCAAACTATTTGAGGAGGCAATTTAAATATTTTAAACCCTACATTTTCTCTCTTTTTCTTTGTTTAAGATTTTTAGCAGAGGACGGCATGCAACTCCATACCGAACTGAAGAATCAGGATCAAAAAAATAAACACACCAGTTATATTTCTGAACCATGGTTTGACATGTATCTGCGAGACCGCGTTCCATTACCAGTAAACTACAATCCACTGCTAGTCTTTGTTGATGATCCCAAAAAGGAGTACAATACACAACTGATCCGAACAAGTAACCTCCTAATCTCTTCTTTAAGGTAGAAATTTCAAATGTCATTTTAACTTTTAATGTTACAATCCTTTGTTACATCAATATCTGTTTGTTACTTGTGAACTCAAAGGTTTCTGAAATCACTTCGTGAAGGGGTTCTGGAACCAGAAGTATTCCACCTAAATCCTAAAAAGAGTGATACACAACTGTTCAGATCAGTCACCGGTATGTTGCCCCCTTCTCTGAGCTGGTACGGTGCTTATATGTTTAATGTAAGTGTTAAGTGTCCTTCCTCTGTTGGCTATTTCATCAAGCTTTATTATTATTATTATTATATTTAAACTGGGCTTTTTGTATTTCAGGCTTTTCCCCTTGACATGTCACAATATGATGGTCTGTTCAATGCAACTAGGATTCCAAGGAAAGACAAGGATCAGATTTATCGGAAGTCAGAGGCTCGTCATGTTTTAGTCTTGAGAAACGGAAATTTCTTTGTATTCGATGCTATTGATGAAAATGGTGTGTTGGTTTGTCTCTTATCAAACAATGTATGCTCTAGTATGCTATTGCCGTATAGGTTTATCTTTTCAGTAAACATTTCTATTTTTTTTTGTATCTTAGGAAATATTAAGGAACCAATGTACATCAAAAGCTGTCTGAAAAATATATTAGACAGCAATAGTGCCCCCAACAATTTTCCACTGGGTGTCCTCACCACAGAAAATCGGGATGTATGGGCTGAAGTCAGAAGTCATCTAGAAAATTGTGGAAACAAGGGGGTATGTGCATAGTTACAGTTTGTATGTGTTAAATTTATGCTTAATCTGAGGAGTTATATCTAAGAAATAAATCTTTTCCCTAGGTTTTAGAATTGATTGATAGCAGTATCTTCTGTATTTGTCTTGATGATAATTCTGTCGGTGAAAATCCTGAAGTCATCACAAGATCTTTTCTTCATTCTGATGGAGTTAACAGGTAGATTATATTTTTCCTGCTCACATCCTTAATGTAATGTGATAAACTTATTTATATTCCTTTTAGGTGGTTTGATAAGTCCATCTCCCTTCTTGTTTCAAAAGATGGCAAGGCAGCTGTGAATTTTGAGCACTCCTGGGGTGATGGTGTTGCTGTGTTAAGATTTTTTCAAGACATATACAAAGATTCTGCAAACCATCCTCATGTTCATCCTGGTTCAGAGAAATCACTTATTGATACAAATGCATATGTCCGCAAGCTTGGTAAGTTTCTTTATCAATTGGTTGGTATCTTGATCACTTAATTTTTAAATTTATGTACAAACAAATTAAAAGCAAAGTTCCAAATCAATAATAATTTTCATTTTTAAAAGTAAAAGGTACTTGAGACAATCACAGTGCCATCTTTGGTCCCTTGATCTGAGAGGTTCCCTTTTGTAATGAACTCAGAAAGTCACATACGGGTGCCAATGTGTGACCATTTTATGCAGTAACTTTGGATGGCCATGATTTAAAGTTTTAACTCGAAGTGCCATTTTTTAACTGCTAATCACCTTGGTGAAGTGACACATCCCCTGTTTTAGAAGTGTTATTTTCTTATGCATGTCTGACTGCTGTGTCACTCTTCATGTTTATTCTTGGCTTCTTGTTTGTTTTTAGAATTTGCTTTGGATGATAAATCCAAGCAAGACATTTTGCTGGCCAAAGAAAGGTACAGTGCTTTCACCAAGTCACTTGCTTTCTCCTTCTTTGAGTATCCCGAATTTGGTCGAAATCTATGCAAAGAGGCTCAAGTGAGCCCTGATTCAGTGATGCAGCTTGGATTTCAAGTAAGATTGCCCATTGTTCATACCATTGTTTTGTTTTAGTACTGACCTGGAGGACTACATTGTGGAACTAATCGAAAATTCTCTTTTAGCTTGCTTATAATAAGTTAACTGGTCAGTATGTTGGGACATATGAATCATGTAGCACGGCCGCATTTAAACACGGTCGAACGGAAACTATGAGACCATGTACAATTGCTACAAAAGAATTTTGTGAGGCACTCAGGGGTTCAAATCAGCCTAAACCTCAGATATTGAAGGAAATACTTATGAAGTGCTCAAAAGTTCATGTCAACCTTCTGAAAGAAGCAGCCATGGGTGTGTCCATTTCTGATAATTAGTGTAACTTTTGTATATTCTGGAACTACATTAATAATTGTATTTAAATGCGTTCTCACAGGGGAAGGCTTTGATCGACATTTGTTTGGTTTACGCAAGCTTGCTGAAATGAAAGGTTTGCTACCAGAAATATACAAGGATCCAGCTTATACACATATCAATCATCATATCTTGTCCACTTCCACCCTGTCATCAGATGTAGTGGCCCTTGGTGGCTTTGGGCCTGTTGTTAAAGATGGATTTGGGATTGGGTATGTACAGAATGAAAACTTAAAATTACCCTAAAAGTGATGGACCCAATCTTATATGAGCCTTTGTCTCCTGCAGGTACAGCATTTATGACAATAGACTTGGTTCTGTAGTAAGTTATTATGAGGGACATGCAGATGGTAGTGGCTTTAAAGAATGTTTAGAAAAGGCATTTCATGATTTACACCGGGCCTTGCTAGCAAAATCATAGTTGTCTTCCACTTAGATATTTCAATTCAATTTTTATGTGAGAAACTGAACTGTAAATGACTATCTTTTGTAACATTATTTTTTACATATCCAATCAAGAGTATTTCTTGAAAAAAGTACTGTTAAGTTTTGAAATGGGTGGGACACATGTTAAGATGCTTTCTCTTATGTAAATATTTTGAATGTCAAAACTGTCCTCATTCCCAATGTATCATCGATTGCAATCGTAGCTCCCTTTGTATTTGCATCTTCTGTACTATACTTGACCGAATAAGGAAAAAACAATGGAGAGATGAACAGTGCTTTTCACAGTTCTTGTTTGTATTACTGTCATAAGTGACTTACTGCCTGTACTAAAATTAAAGTGTTTGGAGTCTAACTTCTCAAAACAAGACTACAGATGGATTTATGCTCAGCTGTCTCCCCCCACATTCCCTTACAAGATAAGAGGAAGTAAGGACTAAGAATAATATTATGAACATAAGAAAGTATGAAATATTTAATCATCAATAAACACTCATAAACAATTACAAAACAAAAAGTAATTAACGGATTTTTCAAAAAAAAAAGAACATGCTTATTCAATTGATAAGAAAATACAAATAAGAAGAAGAAACAAGCACTTTCAGTCTTTCAATGCTGTCTTGGCTGCCGGTGTGGATGAAACCTACCCCGATTGTACTGACCACGGAAGGATCCTAATCCATACTGACTGTATTCCACGTTAGGGTGTCGGGGTCTTGCCCAGCCATAATCGGAAGGCACTGAGTAACGCGCATTGAAAGGCATCTCAGAATTACTTCCACTCCACTGATTTCCTTCATATGGTGCTGAAGGAGGATTAGGTACTGTCCAGTGGCCTGAATTGGAAACATGAGAATGCTGATGACTACGGTGGGGATGCGCATCACTAAACCTCCTTCCAGGGAAAGTCGTTGGTTCATCTCTGAAAGAACTTTGTCCTGGATACTGGATATCCGATCTCTGCCCTTCTTGAACTCCTCGTCTCTTACTGACATATCCACGTACAGAAAGACTATCTAACTCCGCAACTCCATGGACAAATCCTGACTTTATTTGAATTGGTAGTTTTGAGAGTACTTTAAGAACTCTTTCTTGCATGGCAGGGACAGATGGATCTATGCTCGCTAGATTATCAGGAAAAAGGAACTCTTCGGGTGCTCGAGTCGGTAACTGGCATTCCTGAAAAATAAAAAACAGTAAAAAATGTCAGGTGACAATAAAAAGTGCAAGTCAGTTTTTGGCACAAACAACTTTTCATTGTTTACTTCCTTAAAATTAACAATGCCACCAAAGATTGAGGGTGAGTCAAAATAACTACTTTATCAAATTCAAAGTGGATCCATAATAGATCATATAAGTGATGAAAAATCAACAGGTGATCAAAATTGACAGAAGAAAAGCAAATCTTTAGACAAGACACGACTTGTTTGCCAAGAAAAAATTACGATTCAGCCTCTTTCTTCATATTAACTTTACCTTTATTTCTACAGCAATTTGAGGAATTTCTCGAACATTACAGAGGTGGCAATTTAAAAGGAAAGTGAAAATGTTATGCACCTCATAAACATTCCACACAGAATGCAAATAAATGATGATTCTTGGACAACCCTGAAAATGTATGACATACATGAGGAAAAGCAGATAACTAAGAGGGTGGAGAGAAGAGGGATAGGCCTTGACAATAACATGTTCTAGTTGCAAGAAATACAGTACAAGCAGGTTATAAAAAATCAACTAGAAATTAAAAAACACTTTGTAACTAGCACACAGAATATGCTCATTTTGAGGTCTCAGTATTAAAACAGTACTTCAGTATTGGCTACTTAAATAACCTGCTCTGACCACCAATTCAATACAATTTACAAAGGACTGGAAATACTAGTTCTTATTATAAAATAAAGGTGAAAAGGCAAAATGATCCAACATACCTCAATTGATAAGGGAACAGCTTCATTATATGGCTCCTGTTGTAATATATGAAGCATTTCAGGAGTACAAGCAGTGTTGTTAGGTAATGTAGAAATGTAAGTAAAAATAAGACGATTTGTCTCAAGTCTGTAAGGTTTGAGATTGTGTTCATTATAAGCCCAAACCAAAAGTGATAAAACTTGACTGGTTTGAGCAGACTTCACTAGTGCTCGTAGAATATCATCAAAAAACTTCGTAACATCTGTAAAAATGAAAATGGTAAAAAAATTTAGTTTAATAGCTTATCAGCTCAAACACCTGAAACTTAATTCATGTGAGTTCTCTCACCTATTTCGTAACTTTCTTTGTACTCCAGCATTTTTCGAAATAAATTCTCAGCATCAAGTACATGTTCTTCAAGTTTTTTGCAGTGATTGAAAATGGTTGAACAAACACTATCCCTCAACTTCCCATCACTTGGCTTTGAATCAATTGACCAATTTTGGGGAAAGCCATAGAAACAATTGGCTGCAAAGTATTTTTTTTTTTTTTAAATTTGTCTAACTTGGCAAATTTATCAAATTATAATAACATAAATGGTGGTACTCACAAATAACTATGTCCAAAGCTTCTTTAACTTTATCATTTTTAACACAAACCCAGGCTGTTATTAAATTTAGGTAAGAGGAGGAGTGTTTATCCAGCTGAAATAACAATATCATAGAAAATGAGGGTCAACATAGCTTAGATTGATAAAGCATTACAACATATAAACCATCACTAGATTTCGAACCACTTGCCTTCACACTTAAAGGGTCCAATTTTTTCCACAAGACTTCATGCACCTCATTAGCCTCAGTAAAATGATCTCTCTGTAAAAATTCTTCCAGCATGCTAAGACCAACAGGTATCATTATCGGCTTCAATTGGTCAAATAACTTCTTTGGTGTTTGAGCTGGAAGGAAACATTATAGAGGTGTCTTTGAAAAAACAGAAGTACAACACTGATATAAACAGGAAAGCAAGACAACGTAATTGGAATTTGGCATTAAAAAATAACTTAGTTCCTAGTAATTCTTACCTTCAATAGCTTGTAAAATGCTCTTAAATTTTGTTTTGCTTTCATTCGAAGGTAGTGACAACAGTGTATCTGTAACACATTTTATCCTAGTAGTGTTGTCAGGATATTTTGTCCATCTGATTATGTACTTTGCAGCTTTACCACACTTGTTCTGTTTAATATGGTCAATCAATGGAGAAGGCTGAGGCACACTTCTGCTTGGGTTTGAAATTTTGACAGGTGATGGATTAGGCTCCTCATTTTCATTAAAAGGTTGTGGTTCCATGATCTTTCTTTTCTCAGTCTCAGTGTTAACCACTATTTTCAGCTTCAGAGGAGAAGCTGCTTGTTCCAGAGCAGGGCTCATGTGTACGGGAGCAAGAGTTCCATGATTGTTTAAGTTAAAATTAGTTCCAGTTGTCACCTTTATGGTTTCAAAGGTTGCTTCCAGATTCCTGACTACTTGGTCATTTGCTTGCAACAGACTGGACTGAACAAATTCTGGTTGAAGTTCTCCTTCCATGATGTTAAGATTTGACTCACCAGAACTTTGAGCAGCACCAATATCTTGTGAATTTCTTCCATTTTGCAAGTTTTGCACAGAGCTACATGGACCATGAGATGCCAGACCCAAGACCGCATTATCTTCTCTTGGTTGCAGAGTGTCATGTTGATTGCTATGACTGACACTGCTGAGAGCAGAAGATGCAACCAGGGTGAATCTTGGAGTATGAAAACCCGTGGTTGGACCTGCCGATGACTTGATTTTTTCTGCATATTTAACACAACAGTCATTCTTTAAAGGAATTTTGAAATGATCAGCCAATTTCTGAGCTCGTTGTGAAGTAACTTCATATTGTTGCAAGACAAACAAAAGTTGATGAATGTAATGCAACAATTGAAACTCTTCAGGCTTACGAGGCTGCTCGATTATTGGGCTCCTCAGCAGATAATCGCAAACTTCTGTATGCGATGCAATATCCCGAGATTCCTTCAAGATGTCTCTTAAAATTTCACGCATAACATTAGCAGGTATTTCATAATACGGTATGGTCGCTAATATCTTAAGGCAGAACCATAAATCAGATTCATCCTTGATAAAGTCTTCAAACAGCTTGTCAACTATGCTGTCTATTACCTGTAATGGATTGAAAATGGATGTTATTGACATATAAACAAGTTTAAGCTGGTAAAAACACAGGAGGCCTCACAAAGTCAATTTGACAAGCTCATTTTGACCCATATTCATTCACATGATCATATTGGTTTAATACAACACTAAGTCAAAAGGGTCCAACAGACATCTTCAGACTGTAACAGGTGAAAATAAGAACTAGAGGCAGAAATGTAATTTTAACTTACAACATAATGTTCTCTGAGAAGATTCTTTTTTCGATGTAACAAAACTTTGAGGATGGTTCTGGTGCAGAAAGATGGTTTCAACCCACATAAAGAAAAGGCTCTTGCAAGCTGCTTCCAACAATTAAAATCAGGTTTTATCATTTTTTTATAGTTGTCACAACAGATGCCCCAGAAATCATCAGCTATATGCTCCAGAGCTATTCTTTCACAGTAGTTTCCCAGCATTTCCACAGTTGAAGAAAAACAGTTTTCCCTCCAGTATGGATGGATAAGCATCTTTCCAATAAGTTTAATTGACTCTCCTTTCACATTACCATCATTCAAATTAAGCTCAGGGAACTGTAACAAAAAACTAAATAATAAGAATTGAACAGAAGATGACAGGCATGTATCTGAATGTAGCCTGATCCATAAATACCTTGTGTATCTTCAGACAACCATCAGCATTACATGTCCCATGATCTAAATGGTTTGGACAGTAATTCCCAATGAGGGGGTCCACAATTGGATCATCTAACACAGCAAAAGGAACATCCATTAGGCACTGCACAGTTTCTGGATAATGAAGCAGATCATAGTAGAGTAAACTAAAAAAGGAAGCAATACTTGCCTGCTACCTTTGGACTCTGCAAGGGTATGGGACATGCATTTTGACGTAAGTCAACATCTTTCAGACTCATCTGAAGGTGATGCCCTTGATCATGTATAGGATGAATGCCAGGTGAGCTCTCATTACTAGTACTTGCAGCAAAGATAGATTGTTTTGGATCACTGATGGGTGCAATGGCTCCATTAGGACGCATAGTCTGCAAGAATTGCAATATCATCATCTACGGGGGGAAAATTAAGAAAATAAAAATAATCACTAGATGTTGGTTTTAAACAAAAAAACTATGAGACTGTAAAAGATGCATGAAATACCTGTTGATTTTCTGAAGTCTGATTAACCAAGTCCAGTGGAGATTTAGCTGTCAAAATGGGTGCCTGTAATGAAAAAAAAAATGCTGCATTGAAAAACTGCAATTATATGAGCACACAACCAAACAAAGAGGGCAAAAACATACTGGCACGGCTTGAGCCCCTAAACTTGAGGGCAGACAGAATTCCGGAAAATCAGGTAAATTCTGGGTGTCCTGAAAACAAAATAGAAATAATCAAGCGGTTTCAAAAACACCACAAGGACTTACACCAAGATCAGCTAGTCCTTATTTTGAGATCTTTGATTTAGGTCAACTGTGCTTTCTAAAACTGTGCAAGACTATGATAAATATGAAGATTACCTGCTGCAATGGCATTGCTGTTGATGTAGATGGAACAGCGAAAGATGGAGAGGAGTCAGGAGTTTTAAGGAGGCCTGTGCTGTGATATGGAGGTGTAGGCAAAACTTTTTTAGGAGGTTCGAAATAAACCCCAGGAAATTCCATGATCAGCTTGTCATCCCCCACATCACATTCAAGAGGTTTGTGGGAGAGTTGTAGATTTGAAATTTTGTTGGTTTCCTGGATTGCAGTTCTGCATGTTTCGGGTCCTTCACGAGTTGTAACAGTTGGTGCATTTAACAAAGCCCCTTGCTGTATTGTATTGTTTCCAGAATACCTCTGATCAACAGTCCCAGTGCTGATTGATGGATTGTTGATTTTTGCAGGAACTGATGAGGAAGTTTTTCTTGCTTTGCTTGAACTTGAGACCTGAACATTTGAGATTTTTTCTTGGCGAGTCTTACATTTGACTCCGGCCAATTGTGAAACTGCACTTCCATGTGGAACCTGAACTGGACTGCCAGATGTGCTTGTAGAGGAAGATAATTTAGAAAGTTCAGTTCTTGTTGTCATTTTTAGACTTCTCTGTCTTCTGTTCTCTCCCTTCATATCATCTTTTACACACATGAGATTGCCAGTGCCTTCTTTATCACTTGCTCGTTGTGGTGAAACTAATGGTCCTCTTTCATTTACCTTCTTTTTACTGCATTTGACGCTCTTAGTTTTCAAGAGATCATGACTTGAGCTGTCATACTTTTCAGAAGTGTGATTTTTTGCCATCTTATCAGACTCAAATGGGTCGGTTCTAGGACTGGAGATCAACTCAGTATCATCATCACCCACCAGTTCTCCCGATTCAACAGAGTCCCTCTTAGATTCAATAGGTTTACAGGACGGATACACTTCAACAGGGATCCCTATCACACTTTCTTTGGGAGATAATGGGGCTGGTATGTGTTTTTCCAGCATACTGCTGTCATCAGCAGGAATAGTGCGATCATCATCATCACTATCTACTTCCATATCAGATAGTCTCCTACTGTCATCAGAGCCACATGATGCAACCGAATCCTTGTCACAGTCTCGAGCCTGCTTCACCAAACGGTCTTCCGTCTCATCCTCATTCCTAATAAAGGAAACAAAAGAAGACAATGAAATTGGCACATTACATTAATTGTCATAAAACACTAAAAATTGGGGAACACTTACTGAAAGATGGTGGAATCAGCATACAATGACATTGCATCATCATCGTCACCCGTCCCTGGCTCATAATCCAGCTCTTCTTCCATTCTTAGTTTTTCCATTGGATTAACATATTTCTTTTGCGCATGCCAGTCAAAAAGTGTGTCTGACAGCTGACCATAACTTTCAGAGGATTTAATAGGATTCTTTTCAACTCTAGGCTCTATAGGTTTGGACATTTTTAGAGGTTTACCTGTTCTTTTGGCAACATTGCAGCTTTTCACATTAGCAGCGACCCTTTTCTTTAAACTGGCATTTTTCTTTGGAATTGCAGGTTTTATAAAATGTTCTGTACTAGGAATCTTGAAGGTATTTGAGACTGAACTCGTGTCCCTGAAAGATAGCTGGTTATCCTGCTCTTTGGTGCTCACTTTTGGTGGGCTTAGTTTTCCTATAAGTTCTGGAGAGAGCCTTTTCACCATCACTTTTACTTCCTTAAAAACAACATCAGAATGATCTTGTACAGAAACTTCAGGTTTGACCAAAGTTACACAATTTTCTTTGTCCTTCACAACTCTTTTCTTCAATAAAGAATTGTGTTCCAAATCAGCAAACTTCCTTTTCAATGCAGTAGCATTTGTCTTGCCTTGTTCTTCAATTTCAGCAATGAAGTTATGCTCTAAATCCTTTTGATGAGTTTCATCCAATGCATGCTGAGGCCTAGATCCCATAAGAGAAGCGGAATCTGTCAAATTATCAAAGTGTTGTTCCAGATTGTGGTGATTATCGGCACTTATGTTAGATTCATCTTTGGTGAGCTGGTGCCCATGACCTTCCTTTAGCTTCACAACACTGTCCTCTTTCGTAAGCTTTCTTGAGTATTTTCTTGTATTCTGAGGTGTTGTTCCTTTCAAGTTCTTCACCAGGTGATTAGTAGATCCTACACCCCTAGACAAAGCTTTGAGTTCTTCAGAGTTCTTGGTACTGTCCTCGACTTGAGAAGGCCTTCTTGACTTCTTCACTGGAAATTCATTGTCACTAGCTGCTTCTTTCACCAGAAAATCAGCAGAATTTTCTTGTGTAGGCCCAGACTTGGTTGTTGGGGCAGTTTTTGTACTATCTTCGATTTTAGATGTCCTCTTGAGCTTCTTTATGGGAGATTCTGTGTCTCTTGCAGTTTGTTGGAAATCAGCTGAACTTTCCTGAGCCATAGGTGTTAGAGCTATGGGAGAAGCCTCTGAACTGTTTTCCATTTTTGGAGGCTTCTTTGACTTCTTTATAGGATATTCAATGCCACTTTTTGTTTCCTTCTCCTGAAAATCAGCAGACTGTGCTAAAGGTGCAACTATTGGAGCAGGTTCGGTACCATCTTCTAATTTTGAAGGCCCTTCAGACTTCTTCAAAGGAGATTGAATCAATGCTTTGTTCTTCACCGGTACATCAGCAGGAGCTTTCTCTGTCAAGGAAAAACTAGTTGCTGGAATAATCTTAGAAGAATTCACCCTCCTTAAACGCTTACCTTCATCTGAGTAACTCTTTGAATGTTTTGTATCAATGCTACTCAATGACTTGTGGTTGAAATTAAAATTTACTTTCAACCCACCTTTTATGCTCGGAATTTGTTCACCCTCATCTTCAGAACTCTTCACAGATCTCGGTGCAGTAACTGCATTGGCACCTGCCTTGCGGATCTGCTCATCATCCTCACTTCCAGAGGTTTTCACAGATCTCCTTCTTGACCTGGATGATTTTGGGTCACCTTTATTCTGGTTACAAACCACCACATTTTCCGTACGACAGGAACTGCCTGAGGCTGCAGCCTTGGAGGCAGATTTTTTATCTCCCATGCGGGTCTGTTCATCATCCTCACTTCCAGATGTTTTCAGAGATCTCCTTCCTGACTTAGATGATTTTGTGTCACCTTTATTCTGGTTACAAACCACCACAGTTTCCGTATGACAGGAACTGCGTGAGGCTGCAGCCTTGGAGGCAGATTCTTTACCTGTTGGCTTTGAAACCTGCTGAGATGGTGCCTTAGGAACAGTACTGTTCTTAGATGTTTCTTTCTTAGGTGCTTCTTGCTCTCTTTGACTCAATTTCTCTTCCCCTATTCGACTCAATTCCTCTTCCCCTCTTCGACTCAATTCCTCTTCCAATCTTAGTTTCACTTCCTCTGCCACTCTTTGGTTAACTCCCTCTAACACTCTTTGGTTAAATTCCTCGTCAAGTCTTCGCTGTCTTTCCTCATGCTCTCTTTCCGCTCTTTTCTGTTTCTCTTCAAATTCTCGGCTCATTTCTTGGAATTTCGCTTCCAACATTTGTTGAATAATCTCCTCCATTTTAAGTTTAGATTCTTCAAGTCTGGTAGGTGATGAATCTGCTTCTTTACCTTTCTTGCTCATGACCTGAAATCAAAAAGACAAAAACATGTTAGGTTATTCAAGTCACAACACTGCAGTTAGCCTGCCAAAAAAGTGTAAAAGAGATGGGAGCAAATTCTACTTGAAGTCACAAGCATGATGGGAAGGAAAAATATCATCTTAAATTGTTACAGCGGCAGATTATATTGACACATGGAAATCCAAATTCTGATGGATAATCAGATACAAGCAAAAAAGGTAGAGGTCTCAGGATACATAACCCCCAACCAGAGAGTATTGGAATTTAGACTTCTAAAATTTCTCCAAAGTAAGTTCATGAAGACATTAAAGATTCAAGAGACGTAGAAGGAACGCAAAGAAAGTAATTAGGGAGGAATGAAGTTGAAGGGTAAAATGGTCTAAATCCACAAATCTCGGCACGGGCAATGGGGTCCGTTTAGGTTAGGATACAGGCAGCAAGAGTGGCGGTGCAACTACCTTGAGAGGCAGAGATAACAACAAAACGATGAACGCAGAGCGAAAGCAGTGTAAGACTATCATAAAAATGAAAGTTTGGAAGTACATACTAAGTGACAAATCGTATTAAAAGTGAATTATGTGAGCTACCCACGGCATTCCCTCTGCGCTGGGTAAAATATGAGGAGCGTGCCAAAATCCTATGAGCGTAATATAGAACCAGATCTCAAAAATACTCACAAAGGAGACATGCAGAATGCGAGCTGCAAGTCAGCAAAAGGCCCTTAGAACAAAACGATCAAACGATATAAAGGCGCCGAACAAAAAGTATAACTCACACAGCACTTTGTCACTAACAACAACGTGTGTCAATGTAAGCTCCCCAACCTAGTGCAGGAACCTGTTGCTTTTCTAGACGGCTTCATTTGTGATTCACCGTCCTTGAATAAAAAATTAATAATAATAATATTCTTTTAATTTTTTAGGAAGTATTTTGAAGCAATAACGCAATACATTAGACACTTTGCACTTTCACAGCTGGACTCAAGCTAACGCTAGTGATGAGAAACTAACATATCAGTAGTAAGCGATAGTATGCGAAATATATCAAGGGGAAATTGCGCGAAAAGCGCGAACCCAACCCACGTTTTACGCAGTTTTACGCCCGTTACGTTTGCTAGAGTTTCTGAGCACTTCTATACCGGCTCCTATGGGTAAAGGTTATAGTTTAAACTCATAGAAAAATCATAACTCAATGGAAAAAATCTTGATAAACTTCAAAAAGAAATGATACTTCTTAAACTGAAAGAGAGGGGATTGAATGGACTTGGTGGAGGGTGGGGACTGTTCCAATGGCCGATGTCCCTGGAAATAAAAAAAAAAAAAGACCGGCTTTGATGGCTTTGATGGTGACGAACGAGCCTGACAGAGCCGACGGGCTGCGAGACGACCATCGTTGTGCCGCCTGGATCATGGAGTAAGATTGTAACGCCTCCTGTTGTGGATTGTGGATGGATATCAACTCGCGACGGCGCTCTTTCTCCGCCCACGTGTGAATCGTAAAATGGGTATGGGCGGAGTTCGATGCGTTCGACGTCATCACACACAGCAACCAACCTGACGAGGTGCTTCCGGGCGCTTCGAACCAGATGAAGCAGACCAAGTAAGTGCCTTGCGGCTGTCTGTGAAAGAAGAAGAAAAATCATCGTATTTTGCAGCGTGCTCTAGTGCTATCCCCTTTAACAGTCCCAACCGACACCTTTTTAGGTCATGGCATGATGTAGGAACCTCCGTGAAACTGCATTATGATAGAATGGATACTTTCGCGAGTCTTTGTACCATCCCCATGGTCTTCCCTGCAAGGAGAAGCTGTTTGTCGAGACTGGAACTGCAAGCCTATGAAAAGGCAGAGCTGAACTCCCTTAAGTGAATCACCTGGTATGTCAGTATGCATATCAGCATCATTGTCTAACAACCAAAAGCCGATGGGCTTTGTCGGCAAGAGCCACTTGGATGCAGGTGGAGTCCTATAGGCCCAAGGGGCATTAACGACTCTAGATGCAGGCAGCGGAGCGAGGCGAGTCGTTTCGTCGCTGTCTCTGCCACACTCGTCTTCATGAGGGTGCGGGGGAGACAGAGAGACAATCCACCCTTCTGAATCGCTCGGTTGACCATCCACCGCGGTCGCACCGTGCCAGCCGGTGCCAGCCATCATGCCGCCCGTGGGCCGCCCGAACCTCGTCCTCGCCTCGTCCTCGCCTCGTCCTCGGGCGACCAAGTTCCTCTGCCTCTTCCCCGTCCAGCAGCGAGCCGGCCCATGGCCGTGCCCATGGCCGTGCCCATGGCCGTGCCCATGGCCGTGCCCATGGCCGTGCCCACGGCAGTGCCCATGGCAGTGCCCATGGCAGTGCCCATGGCAGTGCCCATGGCCGTTCCCATGGCCGTGCCCATGGCCGTGCCCATGGCCGTGCCCATGGCCGTGCCCATGGCAGTGCCCATGGCAGGTGCCCATGGCAGTGCCATGGCAGTGCCCATGGGGCATCAGTGCCCATGGCAGTGCCCATGGCAGTGCCCATGGCAGTGCCCATGGCAGTGCCCATGGCAGTGCCCATGGCAGTGCCCATGGCAGTGCCCATGGCAGTGCCCATGGCAGTGCCCATGGCAGTGCCACATGGGCAGTGCCCATGGCAGTGCCCATGGCAGTGCCCATGGCAGTGCCCATGGCAGTGCCCATGGGCAGTGCCCATGGCAGTGCCCACTGGCAGTGCCCATGGCAGTGCCCATGGCAGTGCCCACGGCAGTGCCCATGGCAGTGCCCATGGCCGTGCCCATGGCAGTGCCCATGGCAGTGCCCATGGCCGTGCCCACGGCAGTGCCCACGGCAGTGCCCATGGCAGTGCCCATGGCCGTGCCCATGGCCGTGCCCATGGCCGTGCGCTGGAGCCCCGCGTTGTGGGGCGTCGCGCTGGGGCGTCGCTGGAGGCTGGTGGCGGGCCGGGCTGCCTGGGCTGGGCCATGGCTGGGCTGGCCCCGTCTACCCCGTCTCGCAGTCTGCGTCCAGCCGCCGCGTCGCGCAGAGAAGGGAGAGCGGGCCTCCCCACGCTCCCTCCGCGCCCTCCTCCGTGCCCCTCGTGTCCTGCGCGCCCTTCGCCTGGAGCAGCGTCTCGTCGACCTATGTGCGTAGCGTTAAGCCCCGATCAACCAATCAAATTTAATTTAATCAAAAATAACTCGGCTGGCATGTGGTTTTTTTCAATCAAATCTTGAATGAAAGAATTATAAACGGTATCAATCGGAGACATTTTTTTTGAGAAAGAGATCAGCTTCCCGATTAAAAACTCATTCTGCTGATATGAATCTGGGAAGTCCATGTTGCCGTGTACTTTTCTGATGCGTCTTACCACAGTAGTTTAAGATGTCCGTACGTGGACGAGGAGAAGTGACGAGGCCAAAACGAAGGGCTGCGTGCGATAGGCTTTCTAAACTAAGTACCCTGGCGTCGTGACTTACTTGTGAAGGTCTGTGGTTTGCCACCGCGACACGCACCGCGACACGCACCGCGACCGAGCAGGCCCAGGCCAGCGGGTGGAAACTCTATTGCCGAAAAAGACATGCAAAGGTTTTTTGTGCAGCTTAGATCTCGGAACCCAGAGGTGGTAGGTAAAATCCGAGGTCATATTTGGAATCCTCATAAAATTTCACTCGGCGTAGGGTATGTTTGGAGCGGGAGGTCAAGGAAATGGTCGGTCATTTTGCAATGAGAAAAAGAAAAAAAGGAGAAAAAACGCTGTGGGACCATGATCGAAACGTTGCATTGTTTTTTGGTAACACTTAATGCAAGAGAACGGGACCTCGTAGGTAAATTCTGAGGTCATATTCTGAATCCTGAGGAAATTTCCTGTGCATTACGCTGCCTGGGAGTCGTCAACACACCAAAATAACAGAAAACCGTTGCCGTGAAACTGAGAGAGGGTATGCAGCGATTGTATTGCATAAAATTACAAAACAGTGTGCCGTTGACTGCGTGTTCTAAAGGGTACAGACCCTCCTTCTTTAAAACTTATAGGTGGAATGCACACACGAAAGCACGCTGAATTCATATCTGTACTCAGAATTTGAATTGGCCTTACCGTTGTCTCACATTAAGCATGACCAAATAGCAATTTTCGGGATAAAGCGTAAATTTCAATCCTGGCCCCAGAGCGTTTTTCACCTGTTTTTTTACTTTCGCATGGCAAAATGACTGACCATTTCCTTTGCCCCTGGCACTAAATATGTCCTACGCCGAGCGAAATTTTATGAGGATTCCAAATATGACCTCGGATTTCACCTACCACCTCTGGGTTCCGAGATCTAAGCTGCACAAAAAACGTTTGCATGCCGGTTTTGGCAACAGAGTTTCCACCCGCTGCCCAGGCCTCGGCCGAGGGGGGAACAGCTTCCCACATTCGTTGTACAAAATTTGGCCACATTCCACATTCAGGCGGCTAAAACGCCTGTAAGTAGGCAACATGTGTGGCAAAAACGCCAGAAATCTTGCACATTCTTGCACATTCACACAATCATTGTACACAAAATTTTACAGTGGGTCACCCCTCGGCCTCGGCCCAGGCAGGCAGACACACGCGCTCAATGCAAACTCTGCAACGAGCTAGCCCGGCCTGGCGTTTCCCGTCACCATTTTCGTTTCATTCCGAGTGCATGCCTCGTCCTGTCCTTGTCCACGCGTGGCTGCCCGGGCCAAAGCTCCAAGTTCCCGCGTGCGACGAGCCTGGCGTGAAATATTCATGCACTTGTTCTCCCAGCCACACGCCGTGCGCCGAATATCGAATCAATGCGTCCGCTGTTTTTGAGGTCCGGGAAACAAGTAAAGGCAAGAAAAAGCGTGCGGCCCGCGCGGCAAACTGTGTGATAAATTGATCAACTTCCAGGTGCGCCTTCCAGGCACACCGCGCCTGCAACGCTGCCGCGCTTTGCCGTGTGCCGCGCCGCCGCGCCATTCCCTCCCGCGAAGTCCCGCGCCAATGTGACAAACGCCCCAACTTGGTTGCGTAGGAAAAAATAAGGCTACTTCACGCCTAAAAACGGGAACGGCATTTGGGCCGTCAATGCGGTGCATCAGAGCTGTGTTTGCTGTTTCTTGTTGTCGGTGGTGCTGGGGCTGGCTGGGGCTGGCTGGGGCTGGCTGGGGCTGGCTGGGGCTGGCTGGGCTCGCGATGACGCACTCTAACCGCCATTTACTAAACTTGCACGTGTCATTAATTTGTTATCAAGCCGTCGCGGTTGGTGTGCCTCCCGCCCCGCCCGCCCCGCCCGCCCCGCCCCGCATTAGAGCAGGTTGTTTCCGCGATGTGTTTCGGGCCCCTTCTATAACAGGGGCGCCCCGCCCCGCGTCGTGGACGTGGCAGGGGGTCCCCGTCGGCCGTCTCGGTGTCTGAGTGAGGACCTCGAAGTGCTGGTGTAATGGCAGACGATCAGTTGTGGTCCAGCCTCAAGTTCAAGTTCAAGCAGTGAAGCGCCTCCCCGCGTGCCAAGCGTTGAGGACATTGCCTGCCTCAGCCTTGGCCGGGGATCCCGTCCACCTTCAGGGCCTTCATGACCTTCAGGACCCTCTCGCGGTGCAGCTGCTGCAGTGTGCAGTAAACACGGAACACGGGCCGCCTCCACCGTAAAAGCGTCGCCAGGGATTCTCGGGATGCGTCCCAGTGTTCCACTTTGCCGGAGACTGTCTCGGGAAACGCGACAGCATTCCCGCGGGGCCGCGCGCGGGGCCCTCCTGGCCCTCCTGGGAACGGCGGAACGGGGAACGGGGCGGGACGCCCTCCTCTAAACAGCCCCGGGAATTAATCGACTGTCCTGCAAATCGGAAAAGAAGAAAAGAAGGGAAACATGTCACGTGCCTTGCTCGGCCGCCGTCGGCCGCGCCGTGTTGTCCTGTTCCTGTTGCGGGGAGCGTCTGCTTAGTCTGCTCAGGTCTGCTTCTCTGCTCGCGCCCGTCGCGCTGCCCACCGCTCAGCAGGCAGGCGGCCACCGCGCCGCACCGCGCTCCTAGAGCAGACTCGAGAGGCTGGACCGCAATTGATCGTATGCCATTTCGGGCCCGGCAGTGCCCAGGCACTGCCCCGGTCGCATCACAACCGGCCACCCGACCGCACTCCCGCGTCGCGCTAAGGTGGTGGCCGGTGGTGGCGGACACAGACGATGGGGTTGGCCGGCCGAGCCAGCTTGGGCCGGCGGCCTGCGCAGGGGCGTGCGGGCGTAGGGCCGCGTAGGGGTGCCTAGAGCTTTGCTGCGGCGGCGCGCCAATTTGTGCTTTTGATGTTGTCGCCTGGCTCGCGATTATTCGGCCGGGGCGTGCTAGGCGAGGGATGTTTCAAGCTGGAAACGAATTGGGGGGGGGGGGAGGCAGCACCGCGTTGTGGGGAAGGCTGCTGAGTGGTAGCCGCGTGCTCATGCCCACAAACTAATGCACATCACCCAACTTTACCGTAAGTCAGTGTGGTCTGGCGTGCCGTGCCGCGCCGTGCCATGCCGCGCCGCGCCGGTCCCGCCCGTCTTGCTTTGGCGCATCCCAGCATCCCGTGCGGTCGGGCCGCGTGCCTCGCTTGCCTCGCTCGCCTCGCCCGCTTTGCCGTAATCGCCGTAATGCGTGACCTGGCGTTCGGCGTACCGCGTCCAACAAGTTACGCCCTGCGATATCAGAACGAACGTCGGGGGCTGCGACTCTACGCGCCCGTCGTGCACCGTCTGTGGGCCGTCGCGCCCCTCGGCTTCCTCGCCGCCCCTCGCCCTCCCCTCTTTTCGTCCCGATTGACGAGATTGACAAGGGCACAATTAGATCTGCCAAGTTGGCGGTGTCGGTGTCCCAGAGGGCGACGCCAGGGCGGCGGGCGCGCCGTGGGCGCCGTCAAGGCCTCGGGCCGCCCCCGGCTAGTCATCAACAGCGTGATATTTTGAATGCAGCGTGGCGGTGGCTGCGTGTGGCTGCACAGCGCAGCGCTACGCAACGCTACGCGCACTCGATAAAGTTCACGTTGCTACATAGTGATCGGCTGTGGCTGGTGATCGAGTAAAGTTGACGATTCGGTGTGAAGACTATGACGGGTCCGTCAAGCGTGCTGAGAGACAAAACAGCATCCGCCCTTTTTAAAAAGTTGCATTTTACAAAACCAACGGCAGAAAAAGAATGCCGAAGATTGTCTATCGTCTGCGGAGGGGGGATGATATGAAAGCCAGATAGCGGACGCGCTCGGCTCGGCCATTCCTTCTCGGCGACCTCATTGCCGCCGTCGTGCGTAAGCGGCGCCCGCACTGCAGAACCGGCAGGGACCGGCTGGGGCTGCAGGCCGAGGGTCTAAGAGACGAGCAGCAGCAAGCGGCAAGCGGCCGCGATTCGTATGGGCGCCACGCACTGGTGCCGATTGCCCGCCCCGCCCCGCCCCGCACCACGGCGGCGCCTCGTTCAAATAGCGCGCCGTATTTTAAGTCTCTTTGTCGGCAAGGCCGGGCGCGTGCGCCAGCATGCGCGTGTCAATGGGAGGGCCGGGGATATATGACCACAAAGGATCCCCTCCCCCCCCCCTTCCTTCCTCGAACTCCGGCCGAGACGGGAGAGGCGCACGGCACCGCAAGGCACCGCAAGGCACCGCCCGGGCTGGCAAACACCTGCCAGACACAACACCGCCGTGGGAAAGGAAAACAGTTGCTCTTTAATTTCATTGGTAAATTGACTGAGAGCGCTGCCTTCCGGTTTGGCCTGCGACAACCGCCCCGCCACGCCCCGCCCCGCCCCTCGCCCCCCCGCGCCGGCGCCGCCAGCCTCATTGTTTGCAGGACGTGACAGGCATTAGGAGCGCCTCCCGACGCCGCCCTGCTCCCTGCGTCCCGCGCGTGGTTAAAAGCAAATAATCCCTTAGTGCTAAGTGTACTGGTGGCAAAGTGAGGACCGGAGATAAATCCGGGCGACAACGTTACTCCACGAAAATAGGAGCCTTTTCTTGGGGCGAAAAGAGTGCGAGTCGCGTTGAGAAGCGAGGCGCGAGTCCGCGGCCGACAGCGACTCGGCACGGCGACGCGGGGTCGGAGTCAAAGCGGGGCGTCCAGAAGTCCAGATTACAGGAATGCAGAACGGGAGGGAAAAACGAGGCGGAGCGGAAAGTTGGATGGTTGGATTAAAAAGGGGCGAGGCGGGGACGGGCGCAGGACCCACGTCCACGCGCTGCGGCGCTACACAACTCTCCAGTTATCGGTTTTGGAGAAGTGACCGAGAGGCCGGAAACGGACGCTGCCCTGTCCGGCCGGGGGGGTGACAGTGACTGCAGCCTGCCTTTGTTGGCGCGGGCCGCGCGGGGAGGGGGAAAGGGGAGGGGAGAAGTTGGCCGCTTCTCGGTGCGCACGACAACTTTGCATGCAGGCAGGCCGAGGCAGGCCGAGGCAGGCCGAGCTGTCCGCACACCCCGAGTGTGAATGCCCACGCTCGAAACGTGGGACCAGCATCGATTGGTCTTGTCAGCTTATGAGGGTGGCGGAGTCCAAGTTTTCAAGTCTTTGAAGTTTGTTTTAATATGACTGCAGCTGCATTGGCCTGTTCGCCCCACCCCAGCGTCGCCGAGTCTGGCAGGCCGGCAGGGAGTCCTCGACGCAGCGTGCCAGCGTGCCTGCAGGCGAGCCGAGCGGCGGCTGCGAAAATAAACTGCTTGATCTTGTTGCAGCCCGTCATGGCCGTCCGCGCCGTCGGCGCCGCGCCGCAGCCCGGGCCGCCGCCGCAGCGCTGGTAGTGGCGGTTGGTGAAGGCTGGTGGTGGTGCGCTCGCCGCGCTCGCCGCGCTCCCGGACCAGGCCATGATGGCCGCCAGCACGGCGGCGCTCCTCGGCCTGCTGCTGTGCGGCCTGCTCTGCGGCCCAGGTGAGTGACTGACTGACCCACTTCCGGGGTGTGAAGCGGAGGCGAAGCAAGCGAAGCCTCGAGCGAGGCTGCTGTCGACCGCCCGCTGGGGTGGACCCCGCTGGTCCCCGCTGGTCCCCCTCGGCGAGGACGACGGCGTGCCCGGCCTGTCCCGGCTAGTCCCGGCATCGGACGCGGAAGTTCGCCGCTCGTTTTGTCTGCGAATGGACTCGATCTGCGTTTTCCAATCCCCAACTTCCCGTCATATTTAAGATTTTGTTTCGGGGGTGCCACCCTCGGCCGGCCGGCCCTCGCCGACGTGGCCAAAGGGGAGGGGAGGGGGAAGGGCTGCTGCGGGACTCACAATGCCGCGCAAACTAATTAACAACTTTGACGCGATCAAGGTGGCGGCGGAGGTGGCGGCGAGGGCGGCGCACTTGCAGTGGTAGTTATTCCCCCAGCCGCGCCAGTCACACCGCGCCGCAACGCACCGCAGCATCCGCAGAGACGTCTGCCTTTCTGACGCCAAGGCCGCCAAGGCCTCCAAGGCTACCAAGGCCGCCAAGGCCTCCAAGGCTACCAATGCCGCCAAGGCCGCCAACGCCTCCAAGGCTACCAAGGCCGCCAAGGCCGCCAACGCCTCCACGGCTACCAAGGCCGCCAAGGCCTCCAAGGCCGCCAAGGATACCAAGGCCGCCAAGACCACCAAGGCTACCAAGGCCTCCAAGGCTACCAAGGCCGCCAACGCCGTCGTGGGTACCAATAGAGTCGATGGCGGGACCAGAGTCGTTATTGTCGCCCTGCAGTGCCTGCCCATTATTGCTGTTTGTATTTTCGCCGTCGGCGGCGCGGACGGCGGACGGGGCCGGCGGAGCGTGGCGGAGCGTGGCGGAGGGGACTAAAGACTTTCTGAGCGGGCCGCTCAGTTTCCCCGCTACACTATTGATTCTTTCTTTGGGCCGTTCAACTTGTCACCGAGTCCGGGCCCGCCCGCCTCGCCTCGCCAGCGCGGCGCGGCTACCTTGTTATTTTTTATTTTCGCACCAATTACAATGCGCGGGGATGCTGCCTTCTTCAATAATTGTTTTCCACCCTTTTTCCCCCTTTTCTGTTAACTCCTTCTTCGCCCCGTCCCGGCCGTCCGGGCCGTCCCGTCTCAAGCGCGGCGGGCGCGGCGCGATTCTAAAGAGACTCTGGCTTTGTGTTCAAGTTTGGCGCCGGCCGCCATGCGCTTAAAACTTGCCGGTCTCTCTGTAAACAGAAAACTTTATTTTTCACTCGCGTTTCGCCGTAAATCCACTCTGGGTTCGTCCGGCCCGGCAGAGGCCCGCTCGAGGCCTACCGGGCTGCTACCGGGGCGCCCTGCAGTCGGCAGCCCCGCCATCTGCCGCGCTGACCCGCGCTTAGGCCGCCAGGCCTGCAAGGCCAGGCACGGCGACCGGGCGGGGCGGAGCGAGCGCCCGATGGCGGCGGGGTAGGCAACGCGGTGCACTGGGAGGCGCGGCGGGTCGGCCTACCCTGAGGATTGCAGGCGTTCCCTTGGGCGTTCCACGTTCCACGCCGCGCCGGCGTCCCCTTCTTGCCTGTGCACCTTGAACCGCGTCGCGGCGGCAGGGCGGCAGGCCAGGGAGGCACCGGGCTGCCGCTGCCGCACTGACATGCGGGCACGGTTAATGCCGATGGGGGTTCCGCGTTCCGCTAGAGGCGCTAACGCGCCCCGCGGCCCGGGCAAGCCTTGCCCAGGCCTTGCCCAGGCCTCGCCACGCGCCACGCGCGCCAACCCCAGCGAGCGTGTGCCGAATCGGCTCAAAGCAGTGCTGCCGACTGCGATCCAATAAATGAGGGCGGACTGACGGGGCGCGCGAGGCTGTGGTTGTGTAGTGCTACCGCCGACGCCGCGCTGCTCCCCCTCGGCGCCCTCACCTTCCCCCATCAAGTCGGGACACCTGCTGACGGTCACATTGAACTTGGCTGAGAAATTGGCGCACGTCAACTCAGAACCCCGCCACGCCACGCCCTGCCCCACCCCACCACACCCCGCCCCGCCCCGCCACACCCCACCCCACCCCACCTCGCCCCCGCCGGAGCAGGTTCTTGTCGACGTTAAAATTATAGCGGTCGTCCGCCCGCCCCCGGGCCGTCTTATTCTGCCGGTGAAAAGTAGCGTCGGGGAAAAAGTGACAAGGACGCATTTTTAGAGTGCCGCAGAATGTTATGTTTCGTTCCCGCCAGGACCGCGGCTTGCGGCTTTCTCGCCGAGACACCCCTTGACACTAAATGGCAGTTTTCGTTCCAGATTTCCTTTTTGTCCCTGTTTTCTCGCCTTCTCGCCTCCCGCCGGGTTTTTCGGCCTTATTAGCTCTTTCAGCCGCATTAGACTGGCGAAAATGTGTGCCGTCTAGGCGGCCTGTGTTGCGCACTGGCCGCGCACGTGGTTTTAATCCGATAATTAATCAGGCAAACTGCCCGGGGCTGGGGGCACGCCTTAATGCTGCAGCTGTGGCGGGCTGGCGGTGGGCCGGCCCCCGCGGACGCGCGGACCCTGCAGCCAGGCCGGCATCCAGCACGGCAGCCAGCCTGCAGCCAGCCTTCGACCAGCCTTCCAGCCAGCCTGCAGCCAGCCTTCGACCAGCCTTCGACCAGCCTTCTAGCCAGCCTCCGGCCTCGGGCCGCAAGCAGCCCCGTTATCATTGGCTGAGAAATGGCCAATCTCTCCATCAGCGTCAGCCTGCAGCTGGGGAGCGCGGCGCGGCAGTCGCAAGACGCTCGCTGGTCGGAATCCCGCGCGGGGAACTTTACAGTGCCTGGCAGCCTGGCGGCCTGGCGGCGAGTTGGCCGGAGTTTTAAAGCGCGCGTGCCGGAGTCGTTCCCGGCATTGCGAACCCATCGGAACGTTTGATTTCCCGGATGGGGTCTGCACGCCGCGGCACGCCGGCCAGCCAGCCAGCCTCTGGAGGTCGAGTCCCACAGCCCGCCGCGCTGGAGTGCTCCTGGAGTGGGTTGCTGCAAAGCGCGGCTCCGGAGGCGCGCGCTCTAGACTGACTGCCATGCCGGGGCTCGTCCAGACTCGTCTGAGGCAGCCCTTCTTTTCCATTAGGGCCGTCTTGGCGGCCTCCCCCGCCGCGCCGCGCCGAGCCACGCCACGCCACGCCGCGCCATTCGTCATGCTGGATACACTAAATGGGCCGAGGCGCCGAGGCCAATCATTACCAGCGGCCTAATGAGCCGCCATTGATGCGTCGCGATGAGGGATTGTCGGCCGTGCGTCTCCACTGTCTCGACAGGGCTAGTACGGCGTCCGCCGCGCAGCGTAGTGGACAGCGAGCGCGCCTTCGGAGTGGAAGGACGCTGGTTCAACGCCTCCTCACGCCGTCCGTCTTTTGTTTCGACATTTATCAAACCCTCTCGGCTGCTCGAGTGAGTAGACCGTCGAAATGATGCCTCGGACGAACTAGGGGGGTGGGGGAAGAAGACCTGCGCGTATTATGGCATCGCAGCGCATCGCAGCGCATCGCAGTCTTGCGAACGGAATCTCCAGCTTATTGTTGGCAGCCTTTGCTGCGTCGGTGTGGATGAAAGCGGAAAGGAATTTTTCCGCCAGAGTGGTGACGGGCTGCCGACCCGGTATTTGTTGTTATTGCAGCCGCGCCGAGCCGAGCCGAGCCGAGCCGAGCCGAGCCGAGCCGAGCCTAGCCGAGCCGAGCCGAGCCGCGTCGAGTTGCGCCGCTCCGCCCATTCCCTTGTTATATTAGACGAATCGATGCCGCGCCATCGTTAGATAACGCGAATGGCGCCATTTTGGGTTCGAGTTCCCACGTGCAGAAAATAGGGCAACAGTGACAACAGAAAAAGTAGAATCAAAATCCTGTTTTTCTTTTAAAAAAATAATCAACAGAGTGGTCTTAATCTCAGTCAGTCTGAAGGCCTAGTTTTGGGACTAGGATACCCTGCAGGGCTGGAGTGTAGCCAACCCCCGCCCCGCCCCTCGGCAGCACTCCCAGCGGTCAATCGGGGAGCCCTAGCAAACTCTTTGATGTCCTCACCGCCAATTCCTCCCTTCGCCTGCGGCTTGAAAAGAGTTAGTTATGTCGCCAGCTACCTGGGCCGAGGCGTGAGGGAGTCTGCGCGTGGTTTTCACTCTGTGTGTGTGAGAGCGAGAGCGTGTGTGTAAGGCGTTGTGTGTGAAGAGGTGGTGAGAGATTTGTGGTCCTGTAGCCGTCTGGACGGTCTGGACCCGTGGCCCTCCCTGTGATTCTGTGGTCCCATGTCGCTCCTGTGTGCTCCTGTGATCCCCGCCCGGCCCGCGCTCGCTGACCTGTGGCCCGCCCCGCCCCGCCCCGAATGAGTGCGCCCTTTGCATCGTCGGCGTCGCGTCGCTGCAGCGTGCTTGATTGATGTACGTTATGTGTTTGCTCGGCACTCGGCGCTATCCAGCCTGCATCCAGCCTGCATCGGTGCACAACAAATCAAATAAGAGCCGAACAATCATGGTCTCTTTGCCGCGCGCTGTCCGCGCGAGTGTGTGCGCGTCGGCAACATCAAGACGGACGGACGATTGGCGCGTTGACGGACGCACGGACGGACAGGCGGGCTGTGCAGGTGCAACACACAATGCCCTGCCTGTCCTGGCCTGGCCACTGTCTCACCCTCGTCAGCCCGTCAGCATACCGTCGGCTCGGCCGTCGGCGCCCCGGGGCGAGGTAGCGGCCCGCTCTGCCTCGCTGCGCCGCGCACGCCTGTGTCAAGGTTCGCGGGTTCGCCTCCCGGTGCCAGCACGCAGCCGCACCGCCTCTTCTGCCCTTTCTGCGGCCAAAAAATAAATTGCACCGCAGCAAACACCCAATATTTTTAAAAAAATTGCAATTTTGAATTTGGTGGTTGAGGGTTAAGTATGAGGGGGGGAAAGGGGCGCTAAATTTTGTCTGTGGGGTCGCTTTTATTTTTAAATGGGGTTCGAGCCGTAAAAGGTTGAGAACCGTTGCCCTCGGGCCCTGGGCGCGGAGTGGCTCAGAGTGCTGCCG